GAAATGTTCAGTGTTTGAAATGACTGATCTGGGCTTGATGTCTTATTTTCTTGGAATAGAGGTAGGCAAGGCAAACAGACATTTTTATTTGTCAGACTAATAGCAAGGAGATTCTAAAGAAGTTTCATATGGAGAGTTGCAAGGCTACAACTCCTCCTATGGTTCAAAGGAGAAGTTCAACAGGATGATGGGTCTAACAAAGTTGATGAAGGGTTATATCGAAGCTTAATAGGCTGCCTGATCTATCTCACAGCAACCAGGCCTGATATCTTATATCTGTGAGTATGCTTCAAGATTTATGCACTGTGCTAGTGAAGTGCATCTTCAAGCAGCAAAGAGAGTTGTCAATATGTGAAGGGCACTGCCAACTATGGTTGTAAATTCTCACAGTGTTCAGTCCTTGAATTTCATGCTTCTCAGATAGTGACTGGGCAGGTTCAATTGATCATATGAGGAGCACAACTGATTTGTTTCATTTTGGTTCGGGTTGTTCTCATGTGCTCTAAGAAGCAAGAGTTGGTTGCTCAAGTACTGCGAAGCTGAGTTTGTGGCTCAGCAGCTGTCAATCAAGCTCTTTGGTTTAGGAGGGTCTAATTGATCTACATATGGAGCAAAACGAAGACACAAAGATTTTGGTTGACAACAAGGCAGCAATTTCCATTTAAATAATCCTGTCTTTCATGGCAGACAAGTATTTTAAAATCAAATTATATTTCCTAAGGGAAATACAAAAGGAAAGAAGTATGTTTGGCTTACTGCAGAACCGAAGATCAGTGCTGTATATTTACCAGCCTTGTCCAAAACCAGGTTTGAGTTTCTAAGAGAAAAGCTAGGAATGTGCAGCATCTGATCCAAGGAGGAGTGTTGAGAATATGTCTCAGCTGTTATTTGGCATTATGAGGTGGCTGCCGATTGGTCAAGGATTGCTGCATAACGGATGGTTGCTGATTTGGTGCTGAAAATTGTTAAACGTGTGTATTTCCAGATTTAGTCTTTGAAGTAGAGCTGGTCATGTGCTTGTTTTTAGGAATACGTTATCTCATAGTGAATAAGTTGTTAGTGGAGTCAGTTTCAGTGTTTTTAGCAAGTTTGTTACGTATTTCTGTTACAAAATCCTGTATATATTTGTGCTGATTCAATAAGATTGTTGCAGTTTGCAGTCTGTATTAAGCCTTTTTTGTTTATAGTTGCTCGATTTTGTTCTTGCACAATTAAGACTACAGATAGGAACCTTATTAATCCTGCTATGAAGCTATAAATGTCATTGTACTGGTTCTAGAAGAATTGGTTACTGGCTAATTACTCTGGCTGCAGTTGTACCCCCAGAGACTATACAATAAGCCGAGTAATCATTCCATTGCAAGTCAACATCTTTATGGCGTAATATGGCCTGGACAAAAAAAGACAAACCTCGCTCGCCGATTGGTTTTTGCAACAATGGAGAGCATCTGGAATTGGAGTTCCAATCCAAACTCGTTATCCTGAGATTGTCTCACGAGAAAGGCACTAATGAGTTCAGGGGGTTCTGCTTTGATGTGTTTTAACTGCTTTGAAGTTGTTACCATATGCTCTCCCGCATAATCTAGTTCCATTTGATGCCAAAAGAATTACAAAGCTGTGATTTGCGGCAATTGGTCACCGCAGAGTGAGTGTAAAATGCAAAACTTGGCAAAAATGATAGTTTTTTTTTTTTTTTTTTTTTTTAACTGATGTTGATTAATTTCTTGTTCATTCGGATATCATGCTGCAGTTGGTGATTTTTCAATCACCACAGATAGAATGAGGCTGGTTGATTTTACACAACCATATATGGATTCTGGGCTGGTTTTAGTGGCCCCAATCAGGAAATTAAACTCTAGTGCTTGGGTCTTTTTGAGACCTTTCACTCCAACGATGTGGTTGTTGGTTTTTAGAGCTGGAAAATACTAAGGAAAGAGGAACAAAACAGACGTGAGAGAGAGAAAATCTGAACTGAAATTTTGCTCTGTTTTTAATTCAAAAAACAGGGGCAGTTTTTATACAAGAACTTGCTACTGTTCCACGTAAAGTTACAAATTTAAAATTTAAACCAAACACTCCAACTAATGCACATACAAACATATCAAAATACATCATTTTATCAACCTAATTCACCTAAACACATCACTGAAATATTTTCTAAAACAGTGACCAGGAACAACTTCTGCATGCACAGCAGCATTTCAAACCGTGGCGCCAAAATCTTGCAACTCCCACCGTGTGTTGACTTCATCATTTCCAGCAAGATATCATCATCTTCAACAGTGGGGTGTCACAGGAATCTTTTTCCTTACTGTGGGGGTAGTTGTTTGGATTTTAGAACATCGCCAAAATGATTATTTCCGTGGCCCTCCTGTGAGACAGATTAATACCATTCTATGGTATGTGCACCAAAGAAATATTTTCATTACTTGTACATCTTCTTTTTGAATCCCATGATAGCTAAGATATTTGCTTCACTCTGCAGGTTTACCTTTTCAACATTGTTCTTTTCCCATAGTAAGTGAAATAAATATATGAATAGATTGAGTTTCGTTTATGGAGGCGGTTCTGATAGAAAAAACAGCATATTGCTTCTTGTTTTGATATCTGCAGGAGAAAAAACTGTGAGCTGCATTGGTCGTTTTGTGCTGATTATCTGGCTATTTGTTCTTGTTGAATGGTGATACCATGCTGGAAATGAAGAAGTTGGCAGAAATTTTTGAACTGCAGTTTTACCGCCGGTCGGTCTCCCTCTGTTCATGCAGAGGCAGATTTTGAGTCACTGTATTGGATTGGTTCAGTGACATGTTTAGGTGTATTAGGTTTGGTTAAATGTTATTTCACTCATGCTTGTACGTGTATTAGTAGGTGTAGTAAGTTTAAATTTGAATTTGAATTTTCATTAGGTGGAACAGTGGCGTGTGCTTTGTATAAATCTACCCTGTTTTTTAAATGTAAAACAGAGCAAATTTCAGTTCAAATTTTCTCTCTCTACAGCTCTCTCTCACGTCTGTTTTTGGTCCTCTTTCCTTAGTATACTCCAGCTCTAAAAACCAACAGTTCTAATACTGACTTCAAGCTACACTGCAAGTCTGACCTCAATCCTTACAGTGGAACAGCTTTCTTCACCCATTAAAGATATCCAAAGTCTAATAATAAGCAGTGAACCAATCGGCTAAAGCCGTGTTTCATTTATTAAAAGTTATTTAACCGATCAATTTAAGATAGATAAATCCAGACTGGTTCCTCTAAACTCTCCTGAGGAATTTGAGAAGGCCTTAACTGATGGTCCTAAAAGGGGTGGTATTGCTGCAGTGGTTGATGAACGTGCATGTATGGGTTTCTTCCTCTCAACACGCCGCCAATTCAGTATCATGGGTCATGAATTCACCAGAAATGGGTGGGGTTTTGTAACTATTTCTTCTTTCAAGACACAAACTACTTTCATGGCTCTTGAATAATCATTTTAATCTCTTCATTTTGTACTAGGCCTTTCCAATGGATTCACCGCTTGCAGTTGACATGTCAACAGCCATTCTACATCTATCAGAGAATGGAGATCTCCAAAGAATTCATGACAGATGGCTTTTGAAAAGTGCTTGTAGTTCACAAGGCACAAAACATGAAGTTGACCAGCTTCATCTCAACAGCTTTTGGGGTCTCTTCGTTATGTGCGTTCAGTTTGCTTAATTACCCTCATAATATATCTCCTAGATCTAGCCCGCCAGTTTGCCAGACATGACTCTTAACTTGGATGAGGTTGAGCCTGCCGGTGGAAGCTCACAATTCCCATGTCTTAGTAAATTTCTTTCATTTTAGAATTGTTTATTGATCAAACTGGGTTGAGATGTGAAAGTTACATGGTCAAAAAGAAATATAATTTATTGAAAGAGGTAAATGAACAGACAACAGCAGAATATTTTACTCTATAAACTTTTACTTTTACATAAAATATGAAGAGAATATGTTTAGGTCAGTGCTCAGTGGATTCAAACGCTAAAGAAAAAGTGTGTTATTGAGTTGAGCACTAAATAATTATGCTTTATGGTTTGTGGATGAGAAGAGGCAAGTGATAAACAGAATACTTAGATTATTCATGATACTGTTATAATCACCACAAAAAGGAGAAAATGATGGAGCCTTTATTAGCAGTTGCGTCAAGCATTAATCAAGCACTCCCAAAAAATGCCAATTAATCTGATGTAAAGTGCTTCAGTACATTGCTTAAAGCTTTATTAACTTAAATACAGTACCGGGTTTATGAATTGACCCTGGAATCAAATTGAGAATAACTTTGGTGGTTTTGTCAAGGTTCTTTGACAGACAGTATTAAACTGGGAGAACCTATTTGTTTTATGATCATGAACCACATTTTATAGCTATCAGAGAACGGAGATCTCCGAAGGGTTCATGAAAAATGGCTTAATAAGTGCTTGCAGTACACAAGGCAAAAGACAAGAAGTAGTTTGGCTTCATCTTAAAAGCATAGATGAGCATGAATCTCTGTCTGGAGACTAACACAAGTGCTACTGTTTTTATTTAAGCATAATCAGTAAGTTCCACTGGAGATCTTTAGTTGTAAAATATATTTCCTTCTACATTTCCAGTAATAGTATTTGGCTTTGTATTGGCGCCTAACTAAAATATCTTACGAAAAGTCTCTTTCTTGGACAAGATAAATGGTTAAGATTTTGGTGGTGATTTGAGCATGAAGAAAAAGGTGTCTGCTTTCGTAAGATGGGAACAAGAGATCTGGGTCCTGTTCTTTTTGTATTTTTCTACAATATTTCCACAGGATGCGATACCCAATAGACAAAGTCCACTCATTTTGACACTCAAGAAAATTCACTGGACACCTAATTTTCAACTAAATAATCGTATTCAGAGTCACCTAAATGGCTACTCAAATGCTCCCACTCGCAATATCTTCAACAAGACAAGACAAGTGTATCACTTAAATACCCTTCGTTTAGGACGCATGATAGTTATGCGTTTTTGGCAATGGCGGATTTAGTAGGACCACCACCCAAAAATTCTCGAAGTCATGTGGATTACCAATCAACAAAGACTCCGACCCTTATCAGAATTAAAAAAGAAAATGAAATTCTCACCACATAGACACATGCATCAAGTTTCTTCCTTGGTTTGGTCACGCTTTTAAACACTTATAATTAGTGTTAGCTTTATTGATTTTGATTCCTTTGTTTTCCCTCCAAGCTCAGTTTCTCAAAGCGTCTGGTTTTGTCACTGCCAAGGTTCTTCAGCTACTGATACTCTGTGAGTTGAATTTTTCTTCACCTGTCAAATCAACTTTCCAGGGCTTTCTCTCCCTGTTGCCTTTTGCCAGCTCCTTTGTTTGATTCTCATTTCTCAACTTTGTCTGCGGCTGTTTACTTTTGATGGGTTGTGACTGTTTTCTTTTTTATTGCCATGTTTTACCTGTGCTTGGATTTCTCTCCCTTTTTCCCTTTTCCTTGCACGGCTGCCAGGTTTTGGTAATTGAAAACACCTTTCTGACTATTTTTCCATATTTTAATATCACGTTTAGATCTGGATGTTCTTATTTACTATTATTTTTCAGTCTATTTGTTTTTTTCTTACTGTGCAGATTATAATACTGAGCTTCAATCTATATAACTATCACTATCTTTGCTTCTTATTATTAGAAAAATTGTTAGGCTTATGGTTTGCTTACATATGTTTCTACTTTTTAAAAGATTAATTAAACTTATCTTTTTTGAATTTGGTCGTGTTCTTCATATTGAAGTTTCAATTAATTCTTCCATTTCTGGATAGGTCTTTTGGGGTCTTTAAAGAGCAAAGTAAAACTGGGCTGCTTTAACTGTTGACAGGCAAGTCACCATGAGAAGACTTTGGCTTCTGGTTTTGATGATTTTTTACAATGAGTTATTTCCATATGGGAGTAGAACACATGCTTCTGGAGCGCCTAATGTTGTGAACATTGGGGCACTTATCGCATTCAAATCTACCGTTGGGAAGGTTGCGAAATTGGCAATAGAAGCTGCCGTTGAAGACGTGAATTCAGATCCAACTGTTCTTGGTGGAGCTAAGCTTAATGTTAAAATGCAGGACACCAATCACAGTGGAATTCTGGGCTTTGCTGAGGGTATTTCCTCTCCTAATTGCTTGTTGTTTGTATAAAGCATTTTATTTTATTCAAATAGATGAATTGCACACATTCATTTTGGTGCTTCTGATTCTTCATTGTTTGGTTTTGTTAATGTATACAGCCTTACAGCTCTTGGGGAGTGAAACAGTGGCCATAATTGGTCCACAGGATTCTGTGACAGCTCATGTTGTCTCTCAAGTTGCAGATGAGCTTAAAGTCCCTCTATTGTCATTCTCAGCTGCAGATCCTACCTTGTCTTCACTTCAGTTCCCATTTTTTGTTAGGACTACCCAGAATGATCTTTACCAGATGGCCGCAATAGCCGAAATCGTGAACTACTATGATTGGAGGGAGGTAATAGCAATCTATGGCGACGATGACTATGGAAGAAATGGGATTGCTGCATTAGGAGATAAACTTGCTGAGAAACGTTGCAAGATATCATTCAAAGCACCTTTGAGCCCTCAAGCAACCCAGACTGAAATCACTGATTTACTGGTTCAAGTGGCTTTAGCTGAGTCTCGGATTCTTATTGTTCATACTTTTGCCAGTTGGGGTCCTGTGGTGTTTCGTGTGGCTCAACACCTTGGGATGATGGGACCTGGCTATGTTTGGATTGCTACTAACTGGCTTTCTACTTCCTTAGATACTAATTCTCCTCTTCCTCCAGATGAGATGACTGACTTCCATGGAGTTCTTACGTTGCGGATGCACACACCGGATTCAAAACTCAAAAAGAAATTTGTTTCTAGGTGGAGGAACTTAACCAGGGGAAATGCATCTGATGCACCTATTGGTTTGAGTACTCATGGTCTCTATGCATATGACACTGTTAGGCTGCTTGCTCATGCAATTGATTTATTTTTCAAGCAGGGTGGCAATATTTCATTTTCGAAGAATCCCAAAGTAGATTTACAAGGAGGAGATTTGCATCTTGATGCAATGAAGATTTTTGACGGGGGGTACTTGTTGCTTCAGAACATTTTTCAGGCTGATGTGACTGGTATATCAGGCCCTATCAAGTTCATCTCAAAAGATCTCATAAATCCTGCATATGAAATCATCAATGTGGTTGGAACAGGATATAGAAGGATTGGTTATTGGTCAAATTATTCAGGCTTATCAGTTGAACCTCCAGAAACACTTTACAGAAGTCCACCAAACCGCTCCAGCTCAAATCAATTTCTTTACAGCGTCATTTGGCCTGGAGAGACGATAGAGAAGCCGCGAGGATGGGTTTTTCCTAACAATGGAAAACACTTGAAAATTGGAGTGCCAAACCGGGTTAGTTTTCGTGAGTTCGTCTCTGTAAAGGGAACTGATGTGATTTCTGGATTCTGCGTTGATGTATTCACTGCTGCTCTTAACTTGTTGCCATATGCCGTCCCTTATAAATTGATTCCATTTGGGGATGGTCATAACAATCCAAGTGTTACTGAGCTTGTGCGTTTGATCACAGCGGGGGTAAGCGCCGAGTACTATGAACAAACTCCATAAAAACTTGAGATAAAATTTAGTGTTGCTTTATTTATCATTTGGTTGATTTCTTTCTTCTATACAGGTTTATGATGCTGCAGTGGGTGACATAGCAATCATCACTAACCGAACTCGGATGGTGGATTTCACACAGCCATATATTGAGTCAGGACTAGTTGTGGTTGCCCCAGTTAGGAAGTTGAACTCTAATGCTTGGGCATTTTTAAGGCCATTTCCTCCAAGAATGTGGGGTGTTACAGCAATCTTTTTCCTTGCTGTAGGTGCAGTCGTTTGGATTTTAGAGCATAGGGAAAATGATGATTTTCGAGGACCTCCTAGAAGACAAGTTGTCACTGTTTTCTGGTGAGTTACTGAGATAAAAAAAAATTTAATCAATTTCACATATTTGATGAGTGAAAACTCCATCACTAAAAGTGCACCTTGAAGCTCTAGTTTAGTTCTCTGTCAAAATAAGTTGATGAAATGGAAGATAATTAGAAGCTTACCGACTTGGGAAAGCAAAATTTTTTATGTTTGCTTTCCTTTGCTATAGAAGTCTAGATACATTTTTGTAACATCCCCTATCCACCTTGTCGAGTGAGGTTTGAAGAGTTATGATTATCGTATATTATTCTACCAATCTTGTTTGGTTGGACTCGGATTTTTCTCTTATTCACCTCAAATAGTGGGGCTTAGAGCGCGTCTCATTGACTTGAATCTAGATATCATCTTTCTAAACTACCCAATTAACATTCTAACTCATTTACAAAGATGATATCCAAATTCAAGTCAAGAGGGATGTGCTTTGATCCCACTATTTGAGGTGGGTAAGAGATAAATCCGAGTCCCACCAAATGGGAGGCGTAGAACAATACATAATGGTCATAACTCTTTGAGCCTCGTTTGGTGAGGTAGGTAGAGGTTGTTACATATTTTAAGCATCTTAATGTCAAATTCTTTAGTTTATGATATGCGGAATTGCACTTTCTTGGTCTCAATAGTATTCTGATTTTGCAGGTTTAGCTTTTCAACAATGTTCTTCGCCCACAGTAAGTTTAATATTGATACTAGTTCTGTTGTCTTTCATAATAGCCATTCATGGTTACTGAAGCAACTAGCTCCCATTGAACTTATGAAACTTACTTCTTTTTGTGTTTTAATGCAGGAGAAAACACTGTCAGCACCCTTGGGCGCGTAGTGCTGCTTATATGGCTATTTGTGGTTCTTATAATAACCTCAAGCTACACAGCAAGCCTGACCTCAATCCTAACAGTGCAACAACTTTCTTCTCCCATCAAAGGCATTGGTAGTTTAAGATCAAGTAAAGATCCCATTGGGTATCAACAGGGTTCATTTGCTAGAAACTATTTAGTTGATGACCTGGGCATCGATGAGTCGAGACTTGTACCTTTTAACTCACCAGATGAATATGCTAAAGCATTGAAAGATGGTCCAAATAAGGGTGGTGTTGCTGCAGTAGTTGAAGATCACGCTTATGCTGAACTCTTCCTCTCAACTAGATGTGAATTCAGTATTGTAGGTCAACAATTCACTAAAAATGGCTGGGGATTTGTAAGTTATATCACTCCAAAATCACCTTCTTGTTATTCCTAAAACATGTAAATGACTTTGCATACAGTTGGTATAACACAGATTTTGTTGTGTTTTCATCAGGCCTTTCCTCGCGACTCGCCTTTAGCAATAGACATGTCGACTGCAATTCTGAAATTGTCAGAGAATGGGGATCTTCAGAGGATTCATGATAAATGGCTGTTGAGAAGTGCTTGTAGTTCACAGGGAGCAAAGTTGGAAGTTGATCGGCTGCAGCTTAAAAGCTTCTGGGGACTTTACTTACTATGCGGATTAGCTTGTCTGATTGCTCTCTTCATATATTTCCTGCAGATTGTTCGCCAGTTCAGTCGGCACTGTCCTGATAAGGATATAGAGTNAAGCTACCCAATTAACATTCTAACTCATTTACAAACATGATATCCAAGTTCAAGTCAAGAGGGATGTGCTTTGATCCCACTATTTGAGGTGGGTAAGAGATAAATCCGAGTCCCACCAAATGAGAGGGGTAGAACAATACATAATGGTCGTAACTCTCTGAGCCTCGTTTGGTGAGGTAGGTAGAGGTTGTTACATATTTTAAGCATCTTAATGTCAAATTCTTTAGTTTATGATATGCGGAATTGCACTTTCTTGGTCTCAATAGTATTCTGATTTTGCAGGTTTAGCTTTTCAACAATGTTCTTCGCCCACAGTAAGTTTAATATTGATACTAGTTCTGTTGTCTTTCATAATAGCCATTCATGGTTACTGAAGCAACTAGCTCCCATTGAACTTATGAAACTTACTTCTTTTTGTGTTTTAATGCAGGAGAAAACACTGTCAGCACCCTTGGGCGCGTAGTGCTGCTTATATGGCTATTTGTGGTTCTTATAATAACCTCAAGCTACACAGCAAGCCTGACCTCAATCCTAACAGTGCAGCAACTTTCTTCTCCCATCAAAGGCATTGGTAGTTTAAGATCAAGTAAAGATCCCATTGGGTATCAACAGGGTTCATTTGCTAGAAACTATTTAGTTGATGACCTGGGCATCGATGAGTCGAGACTTGTACCTTTTAACTCACCAGATGAATATGCTAAAGCATTGAAAGATGGTCCAAATAAGGGTGGTGTTGCTGCAGTAGTTGAAGATCACGCTTATGCTGAACTCTTCCTCTCAACTAGATGTGAATTCAGTATTGTAGGTCAAAAATTCACTAAAAATGGCTGGGGATTTGTAAGTTATATCACTCCAAAATCACCTTCTTGTTATTCCTAAAACATGTAAATGACTTGGCATACAGCTGGTATAACACAGATTTTGTTGTGTTTTCATCAGGCCTTTCCTCGCGACTCGCCTTTAGCAATAGACATGTCGACTGCAATTCTGAAATTGTCAGAGAATGGGGATCTTCAGAGGATTCATGATAAATGGCTGTTGAGAAGTGCTTGTAGTTCACAGGGAGCAAAGTTGGAAGTTGATCGGCTGCAGCTTAAAAGCTTCTGGGGACTTTACTTACTATGCGGATTAGCTTGTCTGATTGCTCTCTTCATATATTTCCTGCAGATTGTTCGCCAGTTCAGTCGGCACTGTCCTGATAAGGATATAGAGTCGACTGGTAGAAGTTCACGATCTTCACACATTCAAACATTTCTTTCTTTTGTTGATGATAAGGAAGAGGATGTAAAAATCCGCTCAAAGAGAAGGAATATAGAGAGAACTTACAAAAATGATGATGAATCGAGTAGTTCCCACTCGAACAAAAGGCACATTGATTGGTCTAGAAACAGTAGTCTTGAATCAGAGAATTGAGCCTGATTAGATTAATCAAAGGATGCATACTTATATATCCAATGAGTTGAATAAATGTCAAGAATGAAATGCAGAAGGAAATGGAAGTCTACAAGGATTGAAGAGCTTCACAGTTGTGCATCCACTCTTAGAGGTGTATGATTGATTAATCATCAATGTGAAGAATGCAGGACTAAAATATACAAACGACGAATTATTTGTAAGCGACACAATCTTGTAATAGCTTCGGTTAAGGAAGAACAACAAACATACTAAGTTACTTTGTAGTGAAGATCAGATTAATTGAACTGATTTCATACATATTATTGGATTGCAGCCATAATTACAGCTATATATATATATACAGCAAGTGAAGTACAGATAAATGGATAAGTATGACGTCTATCAATCTCCGCATAGTGCAGCAATTTTCGACCATAAATCTTCATAAGTACATGGGGCCAAATATCTAAGCAGTGTTACTTTTGAAGTATTTCTGAAAGCATTCCTCTTCCCTACAGTATCTGTGAACAACTTTATATACTTCAATAAAGAGTCTTGGGAATCGACTTGCAAAATACTCATCAAATCCTTCTGGAACTGGCCCTACAAGTTCCTGAAATAGCCAACAGAAAGAAGGATCTGAGTATCAGCTCAATTTTGCTATCCGGCATCATATACCCGGATATAGTCAGTACTAGTTATGGTAATTAATTAATTTTTATTACTAATAATAATACCTATAAGGAGAAAAGGAAAATGCAAAAATGTAGAAAGTCAGATAGTTCAGGTTTGTGTGGGTCGTATATTACTTTCCAAAGCATTCGTTAAATGCATCATCACAACTATACCCAAGAAATCTACAACTCAGTATATAGTTATTAGTTTGAGAAGTTACCTGAATCTCTTTGGGAAGTTCTCTATAATGATTTAATTTGTTTCTCATGACTCGCAATAGGTCTCGCACGCTGTCAAACTTATAACGGCGGTAGTGGCCAATATTAGCGAGGAACGCAGGTTCTATCCTTTCATTCCATTTTGTACCCAGAGCCAATGAAGCGGTGCTTTCTAGTGCTCTCAAGAGATTGGAGTAAGTCTCCCTGTCTTCTAATTCTACCCGGTCACTAGTATCACGAAGAAATGACAGTCTTGTCTCAGAATTCCAAAAAAGAGGATGGTGCAACACTTCCAATGCACTTGGCCTGATAAAACAGTAGTATTGCATCAAGAAAAACATTAAACATGCAGCAATATCCATTGTGGTATTCAACACTGTTTGAGGAACTAGCAAGTAGAAATTTTACCTCAATTGAGGATCAGGGTTTAACAAACTGGAAATAAGATCCTCAGCTTCAGGAATAAAACTCACTAAAAGCAGGTCCATTTTATTTTTCGTTATATTGATATCACGTTCAAGATTATTACCAAATGGATGTTTACCACCAGTGAGGCAGAAAAACAGGACACAGCCTAAACTAAACAAGTCTATTGCGCGAGTTTGGCGTCCATGAAGAAGTTGTTCAGGTGCTTGCCAGCCAGAACTGCCACTACCTGTAATTAAGTTGACAAGTGTTAGAAAACTATTAACAACCAAAGTTTTAGAGATACAATTAATTGATAAAGAGTGCGCAGAGCAGAAGTCATTAGAGGTCAAATGTGAACCATAAGGCCTTGATAGAATAGACTTTTAGGTTCGTTACACTAAAATTCACTATGGGGAATGGCCAATCATAAGAGTAAATTTAAATCATATGGAGGATGTTAATAAAATTAGACAGATACTTTCCAGTAGCATGATGACCCAAGGAAGACATATCCCCAAGGAGGCGCCTGCTAATGCCCATATCAGAAAGCTTTGCACATAAAGATCTTTCCTTCATTATCAGCACATTTTGAGGCTTCAGGTCCCGGTGAATTATTCCCAACTCGTGCAGATGCACAAGCCCACAAACGATATCCCTGTGTTACAAAAAAAAACCAATGATTATTAGTTCATACCAAACCAAAGAACAATAATAATAATGAGAGAAAAGAACATTAATGCCAATGTCAATATGGTGCTATTTGGTTTATGAGAAAAGACAGTAATAATGTTATTTGTAACATTTCAAAAGGCAATAATCTCAAAAATATAATACGTTATTGTATGAGCAAGACATTTAAACTAACCTCATCAATTTCAATAATATAGGTGATGGATGGCCATTTTCTTTCCACAACTTAAGACCCTGCATCATACCCTTAACTGAATTCAACCGGAGCTTATATTCAATCATAGCTTTTGATGCTTGTTCATCACTGAAGACAGAGTTATGAGATGAGTGCGAGCAAATTTGAATCAAATCAGCTAAGCTGCATGTACAACGCTCTAGAGACAGATACACAAAATCTTGATCATTCTCCACTCCATACCATCGAACAATGTTTGGATGTCGATCAGATGCAATGAGATTTTGAATTTCTTTAAAAGCCACATCGTGATGAGCTCGGACAAGGCGTTTCACAGCAACTGGACGACCTTCATAAATTCCCTCAAGGACGATAGTACCATTGCTTCCCTTGGCTATTTCTATATTTGAGACAATCAACTTACCAATCCTACGTCCATGAACAGCACCATCAACAACTTTATTAAGGTCCATAAACAGTTTGTTACTATCCTTAGTAACTGCAAATTCATCCTCGTTTTCAGATGACATGTGCTGGCCATTTTTCTCAATACCATCAGTACTCTTTCCTGATTTTCGGATTTTCTTCCTTTTTGAAGCGGCAATTTTCAAATTAGAATTAATGAGATGTCCATACAACAGATATTGTCCTTTAGCCACTAGATCATAACGATAAATGATAAAGCCCACAAAAATTAGAACACAAATAATGGATGCAGTTGAGCGCTCGAGAAAAATGCTCAACACACCATTATAAGGCATTCTCACATTATATGCATTAACTTTCGCAGAAACTTTAGTCTTCAAAGGAGGGAACCTGCGCACTTCCCTTTCATCATTATTGTTATATCTAGGTAATTTATCATCTTCAGGTTGCAATGGAAGCATGGGGTCTGGAGCAGGTGCTGTAAGCATCTTAGGTTTCTCATGATTGTCTAATGTTCCATCAACCTTAGGCTGGGAAGGAAGCACTGGATTGGGAGCTGGCAATGGTAGCACTGAGTCATCATGATCAGCCATTGCAGAAGAATCTAAATCATCATGCTTACGAAATCGCTGGATAATGCCTTTAGATTGACATGCAAATGGCATATCAAAGTCACTGCCAATTTCTGGACCAAGCTCATAGCTAGTATTCATAGTGGCTGTAATAAACGGATTCTCAATATCTTGACAAAGAAAAGCATATCCAATTTCAGCAACTGTCATTCTCCATGACAAATCTGAGTTTGGGTTGAAAGAATCCAGTGTGTAATCTGTCCTTGTGATGAAAAGGAGATGCAGCTCAGCATGTTTTGTTAAACCAGACTTCTCCAGCTCTTTATTAACTTCATCATACTTATGTAAAACATTCTCCTCTTCATCGCTCTCCGGTGAAGCTGGAGAACCAGATGACCTGTAAACACGAACCAACCTTCCAGTCTTAGCCTCAACCACAAAGACAGTAGTTTTCTTAGATCCAAGTGTAACTCCACCTTCCTCTGATATGTACGGGGTACTTTTTATGAATTCGTCAATAGTTACAGGAAGTTTCTGAGAGTACAATAAAATTTAATGAGCGAAGTGTACTAAAGCACTGATCATGGGCAACAGATATAACACATGGAGCAAGTAGATAAATAATAAGGAAATCTTTCAAGCATGACAAACACATTCAGTCGATCTAAAGTAAAATATTGTACTTTTACAAGATATCTGGCAAGCACATTCAACCACTAAAACACATTGAACCTGAGAACCTCTTAAATGCCAACAAGAAATCAAACAAACACTGAAGCATTGAAGAAGTTGACTGACTAAAAATAGTAAGTTCGAAAATATAATATGACTGACCATGATAAAATTAATTTCCTTGGCTTGCCATCTAAGGTATCTTAGGTAGTAACTGAGTCCTTGTAGCTAAGAAAATTTTCCAACCACAGTTCAAATTATTCATTTCTGGTTTGGTATAACTTTGAACCACTCATCAGTATAACATTGAGCATAAAAGAGAGTTTAGGATAAAGATGTGTGATATGCTTTATATTAAAGTCGATGACAAATGAACATTGAGAGAGATACCATTATACCGAGATGGCCGTGCGCATACAAGCCCCAGTCATCTCCACAATCTATAAAGAAGGTGTTGGTTCGTTCAGAGGCATTATCTTGATTGAGTGGAGCCTGATATGAAGTGTAAATGGGTGAGCCAGTCGCAAAGCTCCAAACCACTCTCCCATTATCATCTCTCATAGACACTTTCCCATCCAAGGCAGCACCTATTCTTGTAGCACGCTTACCATGTCTGTTACAATAAAAAGTTAAAAAAAAAAAAAAAAAAAAAAAAACAGAGGTTAAATTAGCAACAATCTTGACACCAAAAAAAATGTCATGATAATTAGAAGGATACTCTTAACGTATAACGTGTGTCTAAATTGCAATGTTAAAAGTTGTGTTTGTCTCATACATATATATAATATCAAAATTTGGAGGCAAAACTTTCTTCTCCTAAAGTTTTCAATCAACTATTCTGCCCCAAACTTTTAGAAAAATAGCAAATACATCCAATAATCTACCTGCAGCTACATAAATGGTAAAGGTAAAAGGAGAAGGGTTAAAAAAAATTTTGACTTCAACAGACATTATATAATTAATTAAAAAAAAATGAGATTTCTTACTTCTTTTTTTATTTGAAAATGGAAAAATTTGTCAATAAATCTTTAAAAATTTTAGTTAAAAATCCTTATATCTATGTTAGTAAACTCAATATTTTTGTTTAAAGGCTAAAAACTCCATTGTTTAAGAAGAAAAATGTAGCGAGAATCAAACTATTTCATAAAAAAAGTTTTAATTAATGGAAATACTAATTTAAATATTATTGTTATAGTTTTCCACATTATCTTTTTACATTAAACCCAATACCTATTTTGTTTTTATAATTTATATATATAAAACAATATTTTAAATAATTGGCGGGTTTTATATGGCTATTTTTTTCCTTATTATTAATAGTGTATAATTACGATATTTCTTTAACTGCCTGCCCATAGATTATGGGTGTGTTAGCTAGTTTCTGAAAACCTTAGGGGCAAAAAGTTATATATTTTTACGTTGAAATAATTTTTAATAATTCGATGTGAATCCTGTGTATCACAAGTGCCAATGTTAACAAGAAAATTGAAGAAAAAGCAGCGTATTTCATGAATGAGTAAGGTTTCTACAGTAATCAACTCAAGTCTTAGTTCAAACATAATCAAATCAAACAGCACCTAAAGGATGAAAAAAATTTCAAAAATCCAATTTATCCAAAGAAGAAAAACGGAGAACTTACGGAAGAGACAAGAGGGACCTTCCTGCAGTTCGAACCAAGCCTTCTGACTCATCTTTAAACGCCTCTGAAAGGGGACTTGCCCAGCTTTCTAAGCCCAAAACCCCTAGAAATATTACAAAAAATAAGCAGAAGAAACGGAGAAAATGGCGGGTCATTTCATCTGTTTAGATTGAAAGTCAAAAGTGGAGGTAACAGAGAACAGGGTCATATTTATATACATATATGTAATAATAAATATACAGAAGAAGAAAGAAGGAAGGGAAGAAAAGGGTTTAGAGATTAGCTGGATTGAAGGGGTAAAGTCAAGATGAGGAGATGATTAAGGAAGATTCCAAGCTTCTTCTAAGCTTGCAATTTTTGGATCAACGTTACTTGCTCTGTTTCAGTTTTTTTTCTACTCTGCATTTTTCTATTACAGTCTTCCCTGAGATTTGGGCTTTGTCGCTTTTATTCTTGGACTCAAAGGTGTGTTTGACCCCGGCTCAAAACTGGAAAAAAATGGGCCATTAACTTGGCATGGGCCTATAATTGGGCCTCGGCCGGTTCATCTAAAACCTTGAGCCCGGGTGAATCTCTGTTCACACAATATGAATCGTAAAGAGAGAAAGAATTCCAATTCCCTCGACTTTTTTCTACTCTCAAGCAAAGCCAAAGCGCAGCAGCAGCAACAGCAACAACAACGACAACCTGCAGAGCTTCTGCTAAACTCTGAACAAAATTGAAGAAGAAAGAATAAAAAGATGTTAAAGAGCAATGTATTCAACAAGAAAACGAGAAATAACAGAATAAAAAAGGAAGTTCGAGAAGTGTATCTGCGGGACGACATATGGTGCGGAGCTTCGTCTTGCAAAACTTGCGACTCTTCCGTTGCTCGTTTAACTGCTTCCACCATTCTCGTTGTCGATACTAATGTTGTTCTCAACCAGGTTCAATGAATTTCACTTCACTTCGTTTTGTTTGACTACGGTTATGGAATGCCTTTTGTTTTTTTAAAATATTTTTTTTTAATTATTCGAAACGTTGAGTTTTTAGATTGATTTGCTGGAGAATGCGGCGATTGATGACGTGGTGGTGCTATCGGTGGTGTTGGATGAAGTTAAGAACAAGAACGTGTCTGTTTACAATAGAATCAGAGCTCTTTGCAGTAATTCTTTGAGGAGGTTCTATGTTTTTTCTAATAAATTTCACAAGTAAGTTGCTTTTTTAAGCTGTGGTTGTGTTACTGTGTTTCTTTACTTTATCTTGATTTTTAGTGTAATTTGGTATTCTTTATGCAGGGATACACATGTTGAGAAAATGGATAAAGAAAGTCCTAATGATTTAAATGATAGAGGTTTGTTCTTTGTAAGGAAATTGATTTTGATGTTTTTCTTGTAGACTTTGATTTGTACTTAACGTTGTGGTAGCTGTAATGTTTGTTTTACTCTGTGGCATGCATTTCTTGTGATTCAGCTATTCGTGTGGCCACTCAGTGGTATCAGAAGCATCTTGGAGATGGAACACGGGTTTTACTTTTAACTAATGACAGAGAAAATAAGAGGAAGGCGACTGAAGAGGGCATTTTTGCCGAGACAAGTATGTAAAGTATCTTTTTGCCTACCCTCATAGCAGCTCCCTTGCCGGGTCTTAGATTTTCAATCTTCCAAGAATGATAATTATTGTTGTTTTTTTCGTTGTTGTTGTTACTTATTGGTGGAAATACTTTATCCATGAAGCTTAATGCTGAAAATTTGCCTTTATTTCAGTTGAGTCATATGTGAAATCATTGGGTCTGCCGAATTTGCTTGATCTGCTGGTCCAACCTGCATCTGAAGACGTAAACATGGAACATGTTGAAGATTTGAGACCGTCAAAGAGGAAAGTCATTTACCCAGAGGTGGCTTCTAAGTCATTGATTTGTTTGATTACGGTCTTCCATAAAGGACTGTCTCTTTCTATTGTATATTGATCTTGTTGTTTGTTCAGCATAAACCCATGTCTGAGATTACTGCTGGGTTGCGCCATGGAATATACCATCAAGGAAAACTTCGTGTTAACCGTTACAATCCATTTGAAGCATATGTTGGAAGTGAGAGTATTGGTGATGAAATAATCATCTATGGACGTACAAATATGAATAGAGCTTTTGACGGTGATATAGTGGCTGTGGAACTTCTACCTCAAGAGCAGTGGCATGAGGAGAAATCCTTATCTTTAGCAGATGAAGGTAAGTTACTATCGTGCTTTTCGGTCTTCCTAGAAGTAGCATGCATGTTTAATGACCAAGCCACCATAGATCTGGTTTCATTGCTGTTGCTATTTGCGCTTTCAAATTGTGATTAAGTAAACATGACATCATATCATTCTTTCATTGTAATTTCTTTTGACAGTCAGTTGTACATGTGCGAAGTTGAATTTCTTCCTTCTTTTTTTCTCTCTGTTTAGAAGATAATTTCTTATACTCACTCTCTAAGTGTGTTATCCTATTTCATATTTCATATTTAATATCTTATTCTGTTACAGATGATGAGAATGAGGATGATGTACATCTGGCTCCAAGCAGTGCTGATGATGCTCCTAGAACTTCAAATCTTGTAACTGCTGGTGGTGAAAATACTGTTCCTAGTCGTCCCTCCGGCCGTGTGGTCGGAATCATAAAGCGGAACTGGCATTCGTAAGTTGATTGCTTACTATGCTTCTTTGTTTGATTGTGTTTGGCTATACTTCTTGTGTCCCTCGAGTATTACTTGTCATTGCTTCAAATAGGTAAATTCAAGTTTGTCCTTAATCAGTTGTGTGGTGAATGTAATGATTTGATGCAGTTATTGTGGATCTTTGGAGCCAATGCCTATGCCTGCTGGTAGTGGTAGTATTGCCCATGCCTTATTTGTCTCCAAAGATCGCAGATTTCCTAAGATTCGGATTCAGACTCGGCAGCTTGGAAATCTTCTGGATAAGAGGATAATTGTGGCGGTTGATTCCTGGGACCGTCAATCTCGGTACCCTTCCGGTCATTATGTACGGGTCATAGGAGATATAGGTGACAGAGATACTGAAAGTGAGGTATGCAATAATGAGTTCATCTTTGTAAGCATATCTCTGTGTGTGTGTGGTTGGGTGGGTGGGTGTAGGATCCCTGGGCTTTGGGAGGGGGAATTCCTTTACAATTAGTAGAGAAGAGGAGATTTTGTGAAGTAAATTACGGAGCAGTAAAAGTTTAGATGAAAATGACATAAACTTTTTTGTCTGCTGCAGATGGTCCTGATTGAAAACGATATAGATGCAAGGCCATTTTCTGCTCAAGTTTTGGCATGCTTGCCACCATTGCCATGGTCGGTGTCCTCTGAAGATTTGGCCAGTCCTGTCAGGCTTGATTTGCGACATCTGCGTGTCTTTAGTGTCGATCCTCCAGGTGAGTAACTAAAGGGATATACTTCTTGCTTATTCTTGATTCTCTTGTCCATACTACATTCTGGATATAGGATGAATGATGGAGATATATTGAAAATTGTGAAATATTTGTGCTTCTGTTTTTTATTTTTTTTTCAGGGTGCAAGGATATTGATGATGCGCTACATTGTAAATCTCTTCCCAATGGCAATTTTGAAGTTGGAGTTCGTATCCTCTAGATTTTTGACTTTCAATCGTGCAGAAAATTTCAATATCAATGTCACTGAAGTTTAAATTTGACATGTGCAATATGTTTGTTTCTGAAAGTTTATGACAGTGTGAACATACCTTTTATCTTTTCAGTATATGTTTCTCTCTCACTCCCCACCAGCCTTGAACAGTAATGGAGTCATTGAAATGTATATATTGGTTCAATACTTCTTCCATTTGGAGAGCTGCTACAATGCTATTTGAGGTGTCCTCATCTGTATTATTCCCTCAAATTTTAATGATCTGCAATATCATACCTGGAAAATGGTTGAGTCACAATACCTCCTTTGTTTAAATCTGCTAGACCAACATGTTTCTTCTCATTCGTCCAACATATCAATGGCTGAAGTTTATGAGTTATATAAATGATTCACTGTTTACTGTTAGTCCTAGTATTTAATTTTACTGACATTCTTTATTTTAAACATAAACCAGATACTTAATCGTTCTTCTTTAGTAAAATCAATTAGATATAGCTGATGTAACAAATTTTGTTCATCCGGGCACTCCACTTGATGATGAGGCCTCAAAAAGGGGCACATCTGTCTACCTTGTTGAGCGCCGAATCGACATGCTGCCCAAACCTCTGACGGAAGGTATGCATTCATGTGTTTGCCATTTTATATATACATTTCTTGTTCTTCATTTGAACGCATGTATGCTATATGAAGTATTTTTAGGTTTTATGGTTGACTTTTTATTTTTCTTTCAGGCTCTATAACACTCTTAATAACTAATTTTGCTTGTAGATATATGTTCACTTCGAGCTGATGTGGAAAGGCTAGCGTTCTCTGTTATTTGGGTATGTGTTCCTTTAACTTTAGATCATGTGCTAATCTCATCTGATATTTTTGTGGATTCTCTCTCTCTTGTTCTGTTTGCGCTGTCAAGTACGCGTGAGAGACTACACGGTGTGATTGGTGTGTGTATAGTATGTTTGATGGAAACCAGTCTCCCAGACTCACGTTTACTAACAGGCAATAAAAGTAAAAGCAAATATTCAACCACAAGCTCTACACTAAACTGGAATAAAACAGGAATAAAACTGTATTAAGGGGAAATAGATTTGTAACAAACAGAAAATGGAAATAGATCCAGCAATACACTGAACTTGCAGGAAGTTCGAGAAGTGTATCTGCGGGACGACATATGGTGCGGAGCTTCGTCTTGCAAAACTTGCGACTCTTCCGTTGCTCGTTTAACTGCTTCCACCATTCTCGTTGTCGATACTAATGTTGTTCTCAACCAGGTTCAATGAATTTCACTTCACTTCGTTTTGTTTGACTACGGTTATGGAATGCCTTTTGTTTTTTTAAAATATTTTTTTTTAATTATTCGAAACGTTGAGTTTTTAGATTGATTTGCTGGAGAATGCGGCGATTGATGACGTGGTGGTGCTATCGGTGGTGTTGGATGAAGTTAAGAACAAGAACGTGTCTGTTTACAATAGAATCAGAGCTCTTTGCAGTAATTCTTTGAGGAGGTTCTATGTTTTTTCTAATAAATTTCACAAGTAAGTTGCTTTTTTAAGCTGTGGTTGTGTTACTGTGTTTCTTTACTTTATCTTGATTTTTAGTGTAATTTGGTATTCTTTATGCAGGGATACACATGTTGAGAAAATGGATAAAGAAAGTCCTAATGATTTAAATGATAGAGGTTTGTTCTTTGTAAGGAAATTGATTTTGATGTTTTTCTTGTAGACTTTGATTTGTACTTAACGTTGTGGTAGCTGTAATGTTTGTTTTACTCTGTGGCATGCATTTCTTGTGATTCAGCTATTCGTGTGGCCACTCAGTGGTATCAGAAGCATCTTGGAGATGGAACACGGGTTTTACTTTTAACTAATGACAGAGAAAATAAGAGGAAGGCGACTGAAGAGGGCATTTTTGCCGAGACAAGTATGTAAAGTATCTTTTTGCCTACCCTCATAGCAGCTCCCTTGCCGGGTCTTAGATTTTCAATCTTCCAAGAATGATAATTATTGTTGTTTTTTTCGTTGTTGTTGTTACTTATTGGTGGAAATACTTTATCCATGAAGCTTAATGCTGAAAATTTGCCTTTATTTCAGTTGAGTCATATGTGAAATCATTGGGTCTGCCGAATTTGCTTGATCTGCTGGTCCAACCTGCATCTGAAGACGTAAACATGGAACATGTTGAAGATTTGAGACCGTCAAAGAGGAAAGTCATTTACCCAGAGGTGGCTTCTAAGTCATTGATTTGTTTGATTACGGTCTTCCATAAAGGACTGTCTCTTTCTATTGTATATTGATCTTGTTGTTTGTTCAGCATAAACCCATGTCTGAGATTACTGCTGGGTTGCGCCATGGAATATACCATCAAGGAAAACTTCGTGTTAACCGTTACAATCCATTTGAAGCATATGTTGGAAGTGAGAGTATTGGTGATGAAATAATCATCTATGGACGTACAAATATGAATAGAGCTTTTGACGGTGATATAGTGGCTGTGGAACTTCTACCTCAAGAGCAGTGGCATGAGGAGAAATCCTTATCTTTAGCAGATGAAGGTAAGTTACTATCGTGCTTTTCGGTCTTCCTAGAAGTAGCATGCATGTTTAATGACCAAGCCACCATAGATCTGGTTTCATTGCTGTTGCTATTTGCGCTTTCAAATTGTGATTAAGTAAACATGACATCATATCATTCTTTCATTGTAATTTCTTTTGACAGTCAGTTGTACATGTGCGAAGTTGAATTTCTTCCTTCTTTTTTTCTCTCTGTTTAGAAGATAATTTCTTATACTCACTCTCTAAGTGTGTTATCCTATTTCATATTTCATATTTAATATCTTATTCTGTTACAGATGATGAGAATGAGGATGATGTACATCTGGCTCCAAGCAGTGCTGATGATGCTCCTAGAACTTCAAATCTTGTAACTGCTGGTGGTGAAAATACTGTTCCTAGTCGTCCCTCCGGCCGTGTGGTCGGAATCATAAAGCGGAACTGGCATTCGTAAGTTGATTGCTTACTATGCTTCTTTGTTTGATTGTGTTTGGCTATACTTCTTGTGTCCCTCGAGTATTACTTGTCATTGCTTCAAATAGGTAAATTCAAGTTTGTCCTTAATCAGTTGTGTGGTGAATGTAATGATTTGATGCAGTTATTGTGGATCTTTGGAGCCAATGCCTATGCCTGCTGGTAGTGGTAGTATTGCCCATGCCTTATTTGTCTCCAAAGATCGCAGATTTCCTAAGATTCGGATTCAGACTCGGCAGCTTGGAAATCTTCTGGATAAGAGGATAATTGTGGCGGTTGATTCCTGGGACCGTCAATCTCGGTACCCTTCCGGTCATTATGTACGGGTCATAGGAGATATAGGTGACAGAGATACTGAAAGTGAGGTATGCAATAATGAGTTCATCTTTGTAAGCATATCTCTGTGTGTGTGTGGTTGGGTGGGTGGGTGTAGGATCCCTGGGCTTTGGGAGGGGGAATTCCTTTACAATTAGTAGAGAAGAGGAGATTTTGTGAAGTAAATTACGGAGCAGTAAAAGTTTAGATGAAAATGACATAAACTTTTTTGTCTGCTGCAGATGGTCCTGATTGAAAACGATATAGATGCAAGGCCATTTTCTGCTCAAGTTTTGGCATGCTTGCCACCATTGCCATGGTCGGTGTCCTCTGAAGATTTGGCCAGTCCTGTCAGGCTTGATTTGCGACATCTGCGTGTCTTTAGTGTCGATCCTCCAGGTGAGTAACTAAAGGGATATACTTCTTGCTTATTCTTGATTCTCTTGTCCATACTACATTCTGGATATAGGATGAATGATGGAGATATATTGAAAATTGTGAAATATTTGTGCTTCTGTTTTTTATTTTTTTTTCAGGGTGCAAGGATATTGATGATGCGCTACATTGTAAATCTCTTCCCAATGGCAATTTTGAAGTTGGAGTTCGTATCCTCTAGATTTTTGACTTTCAATCGTGCAGAAAATTTCAATATCAATGTCACTGAAGTTTAAATTTGACATGTGCAATATGTTTGTTTCTGAAAGTTTATGACAGTGTGAACATACCTTTTATCTTTTCAGTATATGTTTCTCTCTCACTCCCCACCAGCCTTGAACAGTAATGGAGTCATTGAAATGTATATATTGGTTCAATACTTCTTCCATTTGGAGAGCTGCTACAATGCTATTTGAGGTGTCCTCATCTGTATTATTCCCTCAAATTTTAATGATCTGCAATATCATACCTGGAAAATGGTTGAGTCACAATACCTCCTTTGTTTAAATCTGCTAGACCAACATGTTTCTTCTCATTCGTCCAACATATCAATGGCTGAAGTTTATGAGTTATATAAATGATTCACTGTTTACTGTTAGTCCTAGTATTTAATTTTACTGACATTCTTTATTTTAAACATAAACCAGATACTTAATCGTTCTTCTTTAGTAAAATCAATTAGATATAGCTGATGTAACAAATTTTGTTCATCCGGGCACTCCACTTGATGATGAGGCCTCAAAAAGGGGCACATCTGTCTACCTTGTTGAGCGCCGAATCGACATGCTGCCCAAACCTCTGACGGAAGGTATGCATTCATGTGTTTGCCATTTTATATATACATTTCTTGTTCTTCATTTGAACGCATGTATGCTATATGAAGTATTTTTAGGTTTTATGGTTGACTTTTTATTTTTCTTTCAGGCTCTATAACACTCTTAATAACTAATTTTGCTTGTAGATATATGTTCACTTCGAGCTGATGTGGAAAGGCTAGCGTTCTCTGTTATTTGGGTATGTGTTCCTTTAACTTTAGATCATGTGCTAATCTCATCTGATATTTTTGTGGATTCTCTCTCTCTTGTTCTGTTTGCGCTGTCAAGTACGCGTGAGAGACTACACGGTGTGATTGGTGTGTGTATAGTATGTTTGATGGAAACCAGTCTCCCAGACTCACGTTTACTAACAGGCAATAAAAGTAAAAGCAAATATTCAACCACAAGCTCTACACTAAACTGGAATAAAACAGGAATAAAACTGTATTAAGGGGAAATAGATTTGTAACAAACAGAAAATGGAAATAGATCCAGCAATACACTGAACTTTGAGGGTCAGTTCCTCCTATACAATTCTCTACTAATTTTCCATGCTTTATCCTACGCTCTTGCTCTCCTTTCATTCTCACTCAAGATTCCCTCCTCTTAACAAACTCTAACAATAATTGCCATCTGTTGAGCCTTCATTGTGCCATTTGCTTCCTTGCCAATAATTGCCATCTGTTGAGCCTTCATTGTGCCGTTTGCTTCCTTGCCAACTGTCTTGCCATCTGTCCCGCCTTGTCATGCCTCGCCTTTCCCATTTTGCCCTTTTCTGTTATACCACTTGGTGACCAGGAGTCCATTATATGACTAAATATTTCTAAATAGTCAACTTTTGTTCCAACTTCCCATGAGTCAAATATACTGATTATTTATTGCACGAGTTTGAGAGGTTGAGTGGATTTTGATTCAATGTGATAACTATAAAAGGAGTAAAACATCAACAGAGGTCTAGTTATTCGATATGTAAGTTTGGCATTGCTATATGTAGATCTTTAACAGTTGTGAAACACTTAAACTATATAAATTAATGATTCTGAAGCTCTTTAAAAGTGTTAAAGATTGAAGAACTACTTTCATGCTGAATAAATACTGTTTTTGACTCGATTTTTTTTCTTTTGTTGGACTTTGCTCTTCTATTATGGAGATTTTTTCCTTTTTTTTGCTACATGATTAATGTAAAAAATGTATATATGGACATACTTCACTGTCTAGCACTCCCATGTTGTTTGGACTAAACTATTTTTGGGTATGTATTTGGATACTCACTTCAATAAGTTATTTGATATCAGGAAATGACACCTGAAGCAGAGATTATTTCTAAAAGATACTCAAAAAGTGTCATTAAATCCTGTGCGGCATTGTCTTATGTTGAAGCTCAGGCTAGGATGGATGATAGGTGCCTTTTTCTAACTTTGCCTTTCTCTAGTATGCGGATACACTTCACTTGTTTTCTTTAAATGTGTCTTTATTTATGCTTTCATTTCTCTTATCAAATTCTTTAAATATATCTTGCTAGATACTCTTTTACCGTTGACTTTACCTTTTTCATTTATATTAATTATCAAATGCCAGTAGCTTATCAAATGGAAGAAAGCAACTGTTGCTTTATCTTGATATGTTGTATGCTGATATGACACATACATCATCCATGAGATTTTTGGTGAATAATTGCCAAAGTTCAATATAATTTGAAACTGAACAATTAAAGGATCACTAGATGTGCACTTGAGAGGATGTAAGCCAGTTCTAGTTCACTGCGTTTTGAAGTTTTTGCTGTTAGTGAAGACAGAATCATATTCACTAGAAGATGGAATAGGATTATTGTTGCTGAATTGTGGTGTTGCAGAATAGTTTTGCAAAACTGATTGGCAATGCTGTCAAGATGTTTATTGTTAGAGTGAAAACGGTGTATAAAGAAATGGAGCTTGATTTTATTAATTCCAGAGAAGATTGAAAACAAAAGAGGAATTAAAGAATTAAAACAACTGTTCCAGGATTAACCCGATTACAACTCTTAAAGAGCCCCAAATGAAAATTATACTCATGATGCCATGTTGTCCTCTAGTGGCTGTATATATACTACTAATGTAATCTCTTTTATTCTCATAATAATCCTCCCCCATTTATTCCCTTGAAATCAGCTCCTTAATTTTTGTAGATTGATTGCCCTTAATTTGAGTTCTTGAATTATCTCTTGCCATATCTTTTCTTCTTCTGGAATAAACTAGTAGTTCTCTTGGTGGACTTTCCTCATCAACGTGATTGTTGGCTGAAATTAAGTGTCTGCCATTTATCCTGTTTACACTTTAGAACCTGAGTTTTTACCTTTATTTCTTGAAAACATTGTGTCCATTTATGAGACATTGTTTCGAATTCTTCCCCTTTGATTATTTTGATCTCTTTGTGGATTTCCAATCCATTGATGTACTCATCTCAATCTTTTCTTTAATATAGTTCAACAATATACATATATATATATATATATATATTAGCCTGGAAATATATATATATATATATTAGCCTGGAAAACTGAAAGTCAGGCCCATAGCTGATGTTTGTTTGTTTCAAACTTCTTAAACAGCTCCAACATCTGAGTAATAGAAAGGACTTTTTCTTCCTGAGTTGATTATGAAAATTTACATAATGCTCATGGATGATTGGTTATGATAATTTAAGCAGTGACCATGCATCTATGTGCCATCAATTTATTTCCTTTATTTCATTTGTTTTTGCTGGCACGAACTTGCATATATTCTTAATGGGTTGTCTGTTTTATGATGCAAATATATGTCTATACTTTTTGTTTCCCTTTTATGAGTGTCATTTTTATTGAAACAATTCAACTGATTTTATTGTTTGTGCAGTCGACTGATGGATCCAGTAACTACAGATTTGAGAAATATGAATTCTCTGGCAAAGGTATGCTTACCTGGAGCCTGCTTTACTTTGTTCATGGGATATTAGTGGATTCCTCTGAGAAAGTTGCTTCTTATGATTCTGCAGGTGATGAGGCAGAGACGTATTGAAAGAGGAGCCTTGACTCTTGCCTCTGCTGAAGTCAAATTTCAAATTGATACAGAGACTCATGACCCTCTTGATATTGGTATGTTGTCTGAATGGAAGATTCTTTTTAACTCCATACAACTGTAAATATATACTTATGTCCCTGGGCCCACGGCTGCTTCATAGGTATGATTATTTATCTTTTTGATAAAAAGTTATGAAAGAGTATTGGTAAAAAAAGAAAAAAACTATACAAAAGTGAACAAGTTGTCTACTAATGAAGGACAAGCATGAGAAAAAAAAAAACCATACATAGTGTACACTAGAAAACGGACAACGATTTTAAAAACAACCAAAAACCACTTAAAATCCCCCAATTATGAAGGCTATGAATAGCCCAGAACTCACTCCTAATTTAATGAATGAAGAAGAAAAAAGAATCTTGAAATTTTTTTTGTCATTGACACCAAAGGGAGGCTAAAAGTTGAACTTTATACCACAAAGAATGGGTATCTTTTTCTCTGTCAACGTCAAAATCCTTATATTCCTTTCTTTTATTTTTTTTTTCTTTTTGAATTTTCTTGCTTCTATATAGCATGCATTTTTGGTCACTGTGTAAACTTTCTTGGTGTTAGCATTTTGGATTTAAGAAATTTTAACTCTTCCGCCGATGAGTTCTTCACATTTATTCTTTTCAAGCCTGCGGACTTGAATTTCATGTCAATGACATTTCTTTGAGGTGTTATATTGTGCTTGAAAATGATTGTTATTCTATGTTGTGTTGAAGCAGTGCTAAAGATGCTTTGGTTTGTCATTAACATGGGTGTTGGATCTGCAAATTAGAACTGGTATCTGTTGGTTGTGCAGCATTTGGTTGAGTATGACTAAATCTGTAAAATGAATGGAATATACAGATATACACATCGAATTCATGATTTTGAGAAAAAAGCTGTTTTAATAACGTTACATTATGTTCTGACCAGGCTTAATATGTATGAAATCTTTGTATTTTGGTAAAGCATAGTTATATTACCTAGAAGTTTCTTTCAGAGTTTGTGCATCTTACCATATATGGAATATCTTCTTCTTGTGGCTTTTCTTAAATCATGGCGTCTTACAGCTAGCTTCATCTCCAACATTCATTCTAACATGTCTTTCTTTTAAGTCATGGAGGTGTCTATATTGTTGTATATTTCACATTTGCTTGCAAAGATAATCATGACATCTTTCCTTCTCATTATCTTTTACTGGGACCATATTATTTTATTTAGAAAAGTTGCTACATCATGTAGATTAACTTGAATTCTTACACCTGCAGGTCTTCATTTGCTGTTGCATTTACTAGCTTTCATTATCTACTTATTTTATTCCATTAATCATATTGCTTTGGATTTCTTTTGATTTTTTTCTGATGAATTGTTTTGCAGGTATGTACCAGATTCGGGAAGCAAACCAAATGGTTGAGGAGTTCATGCTTGCAGCTAATGTTTCAGTTGCTGAACAAATCCTTACAACTTTTCCTCTGTACTCACTGTTAAGGTAAAATTGGTGGATTTTCTGTTTGTTTGGTGTATCAACCTTTTTCTTTTCGCTTGTTTCTAAACCCTAACTTTCCTTTTGTTTTCTAATAAGGCTCTAGAGTGCAGACAGTATACTGTACTTACCCCTGCTTTCTCTTCAATGGGTCCACTGTTGGCAGGCATTCTTCATGATTGCATTATAGCTTGTTTACATTTGTGAGCAATGGCCAATAAATTATTACCTTATTAATGGCTAATTTTAATCTCCAACATATAACCTATTTCTCACTGGAAAAATACTTGCATGTTAGTGACCCTTAGAACCAACTGGATAAGGACCAGTGGATGGCTTGTTTCTGTCATCTTGTGATTTATTCACTGAAACCAAGTTGCAGGAGTCAGACTTCAATAGATTTCTGAGGAAGCATACTGTACTAGTGTGCCAGTTGGAAAAGTGATTGCATTTTGATTTTTACGCTAAAGGCATGATTAAATTCTCCTCAAATAATATTATTAACTTTAATGCATCTTTGTGAACTAAAGGGTCATGTCTGCATGCTAGATGAAAACAATTTTTTCTTCAAAATTATGTGGTGGTGGTTAGTGGACACATAATGGACATTGGCTTTGTGTGCAGGCGTCATCCTTCTCCAACAAAAGAGATGCTTGAGCCTTTGCTGCGTACTGCTGCTGCTGTTGGCCTCAACTTGGATGTTTCATCATCAAAAGCACTGGCTGATTCACTTGACCATGCTGTGGTAAGACTATTATGTTATTGCATCTGTTTACTGGCACAGTGGATACTCTACTCTGGGCTATATACTTATATCATTATAAACTTTCTGTCATGAACAGATATTGTGCTAGATATGCATGTTCAACTTTCTAAGATTTAGAATTTTTTTTTTTTTTTTAATTATAGCAAACATAATGTGCTAGTCACATAGGTTAGATGTTGACTGAACAGTGTAGCATTGGCTTATTGGCTATTTTTGAGTTTGTTTTTCTTTAGTTTTCTTTTCAGCCAATGAGGTTTGTATATTAGTTGTTTCTAGGCTTCTTTTGCATGTACACTGTGTTTGTTTTATCTGAAACCTTGTGGTTCTGACTGGTGACTTGTATTGCATTTCCATTTGGATGCTCTGTATGCTCTGTATGGTTCTTACTGAAAATGTTTGCCAGAGTGACGATCCATACTTCAATAAGCTGATTCGGATACTGGCAACGAGATGTATGACTCAGGTAATTCACTTGATTGAATATGTGTGAATCCTTAAAATACGACAATGAATCATCTAAATTCTAATACTTTTGACTTGAATTACAAATCAGGCAGTGTATTTCTGTAGTGGAGATCTCACGCCCCCAGAATTTCATCATTACGGGCTTGCAGCGCCTCTGTATACTCATTTCACCTCTCCTATAAGGAGATATGCTGGTCAGTTAGACTATTAATTCTGTAGTGTTCTGTTTGGTGGACAAGATTTTGTAATTTGAATTTGGAACTTCTTTTCTTGCAGATGTTGTTGTACACAGGTTGCTTGCTGCGTCTTTAGGAATATACAAGCTCCCACCAGTATGCCAAGATAGACCCCAACTTACTAGTATTGCTGATAGTAAGTTTTCTTCCCTGTTGAAACTCTGCTGCCATGCTATATGAAACCCTTCACTTGGTTTTATACCTGGATACCATACAGCTGTCCTTGATGGTCATATTCTCATCTTTGCACGATAGAAAATATTTTGTTTGCAACTGGTGTGTTCTTCAATTTTCCATTAGTTGAAAATCATCTCCAACATAGGGCAATAAAACTGAAAGTCCTACAATCATGTCTTACTGATTTTTCTCTTGTGGAAGCTCTAATTTTGTTGCTTCTCTTTCGCATCTCACATCTCCAATCTTTTGGGATCCAAAGATATTATCTAATATTTCACATGTGCACTCCATTAAATCCAACTCTATTACTTGTTACCATGAAAAATATTACTTAGCTTTTATTTCTGAAATCCCACTTATTTTGGGATGATTACGTGATGTGATCTCAGCTATCTAAAGGTTGTTGCTTGTTGATACTTTTCTTCAGATTTGAATTATCGGCATAGGAATGCACAGATGGCTAGTCGGGCCTCAGTGGAGCTCCATACTCTTATCTACTTCAGAAAACGGTATTATCAGATATTCTCTCTCTCTCTCTCTCTCTCTCTCTCACACACACACACACACACAAAGAAGTGTGCTAATTTGTCTTTTCTCTTGCAGGCCTACGGACACAGAGGCTAGGATAGTGAAGATAAGATCTAATGGTTTTATTGTGTTTGTACCCAAGTATGTACTCTAACCTCAGTGTTTATTGTTTGACTTTCAACTGCAACTATGTTGCATTTACTTTACTAATCTCCAAGAAAATAAGTACTTTCCAGCTGATGCCACGGCCCCTTCAATCTTTTGTTCTTTTATTTTGTTTACAGTGGCTGTTCTATCCTGAAACTTGATTTTACATTTTTTTTATATTTTTTTTAAGAGAAATTGTTGCATGGTTTTTGTGTGGCAAAATTTTGTGAAGGATTAAGGAAGTTGTTTGTTTGTATGTGTGTAATTGACAAGGTGTTGTTGCAGGTTTGGCATAGAAGGACCTGTGTACTTGACACCAAGAGGCAAGAATGGAGGTGGGGAATGGTACGTAGATGAGCAGCAGCAGAAGATTATAAAGATGGATAGTAGCCTCTCTTACAGTGTTCTACAAATGTTGATGGTTCACATGGAGGTTGTGGAGCCCCAGCCCAACCGGCCGAAACTCCAACTTACCCTCATTTAAAAGTTTGGTAACTCTTTCTTCCCCTACATTTTTAGCTGAAGAAGAAAATACTAAATTAATGTTTGTGTCAATCTCTTTTATGAAGCTAGGGCTGTGTTTTATCGCCATGTGGTGTAAAGATTTGGATTTGGGGATAGGTTGCTGTTCCATAGGAAGAGGAAGTGCAAGTGCAAGAATGTTGTATCATAGTTTTGTTCTATTTAAACACCTTATTCGTGTGGGCTTTTATATCTGGTATCACTGCCCAGATTGGAAGATTGAAACATACATAAATTTTGATTAATATTAAGCAATAGATTCCATTGTTGTCAGAAAAAAAGCAATGTGCCAATACTGATCCTTTCTTTTTTTCTCCTTCCAAATGTACATGATCATCGATTACCAAAAAAATACACGAATTTCTCTTTCATTCGTGTTTAGGGACAACACATTCATATTAGCAACTGAAATCATCTTCAAAACCCACAACAATCCTACTAGCCACCGAGATCTTCAAAACCCACTCATTGGAACCTCAGCTTCATATTGCACACCCAAAAGATACTAAGAAACAAAAAAATAATCCCATTATAGGGATGTATATATTGAAAGGACTCTTCGGATTACTGTTTACCCTTGATATAAGATAAACCATTCACTACAGCATAGATATAGACATAGGCTTTCTAGTATTGTGTTTAAAATGTCCTGCTTCATTCTACAAAAGAAGAGGGTTTAGAAGTTTTAGAGATTCAAGTTGGTGCTCAATATGTCTCTGTCTTCTTCACTCTCCTAAGCTACAAGTGTTTAGGCCAAGATCCACATGTAGACTGTTGACCAAGACGTGAGTGCTAGTGCTGAAACTAAATATGTCCAGAAAAAGAGGACTGAACATTCCTCTTGAGCCACATCAAACAACTGGGTCATTGTACCTGTTCATATCCATGCATTAACCAAAAGCAAAAGTCAGATCCGTGGTTTGTTCCCACAAGTTGGGTTTCTGAGTCCTCTCATGAGCAACTACTTACCAATGTTCATGGCAGGTGGGAGAGTGAATTGAATCATGAGCACATAGTGGTATAAAGGGTCCGATGGAAGGAAACCAAGAGTGGAAGCTCCTTTAACAATCCATATACCAATCATAGGAAGTACGATGTATCTAACACAAACCACAGCTATGATCACCAATGGCTTTAGTGTTGAAGATTTTAAACCTGTAAAAATTTTAACACATTCGTAGCCCGTAAGAGTCTGCTTCATTCTTGTATTGGTTTTTATATATACTGAAGATTGGGAAATTTAGTTACCTTGAATGAGATTGCCTCCAAGTATAAGTGTTATACATGGAATTGTTCCATCCCTGCAAAATTTTCCCTCTTTTGAGTTATTGGCAGATCCAAAGAGAGAATGAATATATCAGAGTCATAAATCATACCCAATTATTTTAATTGAGTCTTGGAACACCCTCAAGGGAGCACCATCACCGATTATAAGGTTTCTCAGCCAAGTAACCGCTCCAAAGATGAATCCAACAATCTGTCGGTCAGTCAAGTTCAATTCACAACTCTTCTTATTAAGCACATAAATGTAGGCGGAAAAAAAAAAAGACTCACCGCGGCAATTGTAGGAGGTGCCATTAGCTCCTCCCCGATCTTGTGAAAGAATTCAAGTATCTTTTTACAGGATGATTCCTTTGATTTATCCTGATGACTAGTTGATTCTTGTGGTACAATTTGGCTTTCAGCATCTACATAAGTAGACTTTGGTAATGACCCATTTACAGATACGTTTTGTTCATCCTCTTCTCCCTTGAGAAGTCGAGTTTCTGGGGTGGCATCAAAATCCTTGTTGGCCACCTTAGACTCAGATGTATCTTCAGCAGCTTGAAGTGCTTTGTATTTAATTGATGAACTTCTTACCAGATGGTAACTGTAAGTCCATATGTAGAAACCACCAAGCTGCCTTACCCAAAAACACCACCAAAATTAATTAGTATCAGACACAAGACAAAGAAACAAACTGGAAATTAGATAATAAGAATTGCATTATAATTCATTACCGCCATGGAGAAAGATGCATATGAGAGTCCAACAGAGCTGCAAACATTACGATTCCCAAATGGACTTCCTTCCTCGTTACAGATTGCAGGGACAACTATAAGGAGAAGATTTCCCAAGTTCCCTGTATCAATAAACAATCGAACGGGTTTAAAGGTAATATATTTAATATATGAACGACCGTTTGTATTAATATACAATTATTGGGTTTACCCAAAAAAAAAAGATATACAGGTAAATTACCAGAAGCACATGTAGCAATGATGAGGCCTTCAAGGTAAGGCTTAGGTCTCAGAATTTTGACAACTATCCATCCAAGAATGCCTCCAAATAGAAAAGTGAGTCCAATGTTAACCGGCATAAACCACCTGTATCAAACAACTGGCTAGTCGGGCCTCAGTGGAGCTCCATACTCTTATCTACTTCAGAAAACGGTATTATCAGATATTCTCTCTCTCTCTCTCTCTCTCACACACACACACAAAGAAGTGTGCTAATTTGTCTTTTCTCTTGCAGGCCTACGGACACAGAGGCTAGGATAGTGAAGATAAGATCTAATGGTTTTATTGTGTTTGTACCCAAGTATGTACTCTAACCTCAGTGTTTATTGTTTGACTTTCAACTGCAACTATGTTGCATTTACTTTACTAATCTCCAAGAAAATAAGTACTTTCCAGCTGATGCCACGGCCCCTTCAATCTTTTGTTCTTTTATTTTGTTTACAGTGGCTGTTCTATCCTGAAACTTGATTTTACATTTTTTTTATATTTTTTTTAAGAGAAATTGTTGCATGGTTTTTGTGTGGCAAAATTTTGTGAAGGATTAAGGAAGTTGTTTGTTTGTATGTGTGTAATTGACAAGGTGTTGTTGCAGGTTTGGCATAGAAGGACCTGTGTACTTGACACCAAGAGGCAAGAATGGAGGTGGGGAATGGTACGTAGATGAGCAGCAGCAGAAGATTATAAAGATGGATAGTAGCCTCTCTTACAGTGTTCTACAAATGTTGATGGTTCACATGGAGGTTGTGGAGCCCCAGCCCAACCGGCCGAAACTCCAACTTACCCTCATTTAAAAGTTTGGTAACTCTTTCTTCCCCTACATTTTTAGCTGAAGAAGAAAATACTAAATTAATGTTTGTGTCAATCTCTTTTATGAAGCTAGGGCTGTGTTTTATCGCCATGTGGTGTAAAGATTTGGATTTGGGGATAGGTTGCTGTTCCATAGGAAGAGGAAGTGCAAGTGCAAGAATGTTGTATCATAGTTTTGTTCTATTTAAACACCTTATTCGTGTGGGCTTTTATATCTGGTATCACTGCCCAGATTGGAAGATTGAAACATACATAAATTTTGATTAATATTAAGCAATAGATTCCATTGTTGTCAGAAAAAAAGCAATGTGCCAATACTGATCCTTTCTTTTTTTCTCCTTCCAAATGTACATGATCATCGATTACCAAAAAAATACACGAATTTCTCTTTCATTCGTGTTTACGGACAACACATTCATATTAGCAACTGAAATCATCTTCAAAACCCACAACAATCCTACTAGCCACCGAGATCTTCAAAACCCACTCACTGGAACCTCAGCTTCATATTGCACACCCAAAAGATACTAAGAAACAAAAAAATAATCCCATTATAGGGATGTATATATTGAAAGGACTCTTCGGATTACTGTTTACCCTTGATATAAGATAAACCATTCACTACAGCATAGATATAGACATAGGCTTTCTAGTATTGTGTTTAAAATGTCCTGCTTCATTCTACAAAAGAAGAGGGTTTAGAAGTTTTAGAGATTCAAGTTGGTGCTCAATATGTCTCTGTCTTCTTCACTCTCCTAAGCTACAAGTGTTTAGGCCAAGATCCACATGTAGACTGTTGACCAAGACGTGAGTGCTAGTGCTGAAACTAAATATGTCCAGAAAAAGAGGACTGAACATTCCTCTTGAGCCACATCAAACAACTGGGTCATTGTACCTGTTCATATCCATGCATTAACCAAAAGCAAAAGTCAGATCCGTGGTTTGTTCCCACAAGTTGGGTTTCTGAGTCCTCTAATGAGCAACTACTTACCAATATTCATGGCAGGTGGGAGAGTGAATTGAATCATGAGCACATAGTGGTATAAAGGGTCCGATGGAAGGAAACCAAGAGTGGAAGCTCCTTTAACAATCCATATACCAATCATAGGAAGTACGATGTATCTAACACAAACCACAGCTATGATCACCAATGGCTTTAGTGTTGAAGATTTTAAACCTGTAAAATTTTTAACACATTTGTAGCCCGTAAGACTCTGCTTCATTCTTGTATTGATTTTTATATGTACTGAAGATTGGGAAATTTAGTTACCTTGAATGAGATTGCCTCCAAGTATAAGTGTTATACATGGAATTGTTCCATCCCTACAAAATTTTCCCTCTTTTGAGTTATTGGCAGATCCAAAGAGAGAATGAATATATCAGAGTCATAAATCATACCCAATTATTTTAATTGAGTCTTGGAACACCCTCAAGGGAGCACCATCACCGATTATAAGGTTTCTCAGCCAAGTAACCGCTCCAAAGATGAATCCAACAATCTGTCGGTCAGTCAAGTTCAATTCACAACTCTTCTTATTAAGCACATAAATGTAGGCGGAAAAAAAAAAAGACTCACCGCGGCAATTGTAGGAGGTGCCATTAGCTCCTCCCCGATCTTGTGAAAGAATTCAAGTATCTTTTTACAGGATGATTCCTTTGATTTATCCTGATGACTAGTTGATTCTTGTGGTACAATTTGGCTTTCAGCATCCACATAAGTAGACTTTGGTAATGACCCATTTACAGATACGTTTTGTTCATCCTCTTCTCCCTTGAGAAGTTGAGTTTCTGGGGTGGCATCAAAATCCTTGTTGGCCACCTTAGACTCAGATGTATCTTCAGCAGCTTGAAGTGCTTTGTATTTAATTGATGAACTTCTTACCAGATGGTAACTGTAAGTCCATATGTAGAAACCACCAAGCTGCCTTACCCAAAAACACCACCAAAATTAATTAGTATCAGACACAAGACAAAGAAACAAACTGGAAATTAGATAATAAGAATTGCATTATAATTCATTACCGCCATGGAGAAAGATGCATATGAGAGTCCAACAGTGGTGCAAACATTACGATTCCCAAATGGACTTCCTTCCTCGTTACAGATTGCAGGGACAACTATAAGGAGAAGATTTCCCAAGTTCCCTGTATCAATAAACAATCGAACGGGTTTAAAGGTAATATATTTAATATATGGACGACCGTTTGTATTAATATACAATTATTGGGTTTACCCAAAAAAAAAAGATATACAGGTAAATTACCAGAAGCACATGTAGCAATGATGAGGCCTTCAAGGTAAGGCTTAGGTCTCAGAATTTTGACAACTATCCATCCAAGAATGCCTCCAAGTAGAAAAGTGAGTCCAATGTTAACCGGCATAAACCACCTGTATCAAACAAGATACAAATACAACCACCCTTTTAATCTGAGAAAACCAAAGACTAGAGTTTGAGAAAATTCAGTAAAATGGCAGCTATCAATTTACCATGAGATTATGTCTTCAAGTGTCACAGTCTGGGCCAAAGATGCAAACATGAGACAAGGTGTGAACACAGTGAACACGATCTGCATAAATTAATCACCAGAGATTTAATATCTTTGAAGATAGCTAACAAATTATAATGTGGTTGCACGAGTGAGCGTACCTTGTTCAAGGATTTTCGGGCGTCTGTTGGAAGAAGATTGCAATATTCAGTAGCCATGAAAGCTCCCAATAAACTTATTAAAAGCACTTGCAAAATTGGCATAGTTGCCACTTCAAACAGTGTCCAGAACCCCATCTCTGTCTTCTGATATTGTAGCAGCTACTTGAACAAGGTTAACTTATATTCAGCTAGATTCTAAAACAAGAGAAGATTACCAGATCAATGCGCATAAACAAAACAATAACAGCATTAAAAATTTTGAAAAACAAACTGTTTGTTTCAAAACTCTTTAAAGCAGTTAAAAGTAGAGATGTCATGAATCATGATAAAGGTCCAAAACTGGAGGAGGAAGGTACCATGAAGGTAACAATTCTTGTCTGGACTTGAGCCGACATCCTTTCACTTTATATTTCAGTACTTTTTAACATTAAAATATAACCATATATATATATATATATGAAACGTAGTGTATTTGTATCAAGTCAGCGGTTTGGCTACAGTAGGGAATCTATCAATACAACAATGTAAAATCACTGTTAGCAGAAATCACCCAACTGGTAGATGAAAGCTGCTGGGTGATTGCTTAGCGGACAGAGAAGGATACTGTTAAGTTTGGTCTAGATGTTTCTGTAGATTATGAGAAGCCAATGAATGATTAAAATTTTGAAGTGATTGATGATATCAGACCCTGAAATATTGCCACTTACATCATGGTCCTATCTGTCTGTCTTCAAATTTGGTTCTTTCTTTGTATGAAAGATATATCATCAAGTAATGACATATTAGGGTTTTATGTTTATGCAGTAAGAAATACGCTGATCAAAATGATTTACTATATTTTTTTTCCCCATGTTTTTGCATAATTTGAAAGAAAGCCAATAATGTAGCTGTCCCATCAAAAGCTCTTTCCAAAATTCTTGTGGCTATAAATTTACCAGAATTGCGTGCTGGTTGGCTGTAAACCAAATTGGTGAATCCTAACGACTCTTACGGTACAATCTGAGAATGACCTTAATTCCCTTTAACTATAATCATAAGGTTAAATATAGTTTTATACTTTTATAGACAAACACAAAAGAGGGCTTCAAAGTGATCGTGAAATTATAAGAAAAGAAGAAAAGAAAGGACATGTTGTGGAACCATCAAGAAGCTGGACTCCATTATCTAAATTAAAGAGAAAACAGAAGGAATAAATGTCAAAAAGCATTTATTATTATTATTATTATTACTGCTATGGAGAATATGAACATGGTTTCAACTTTCAAAGCAGAAGAACAAGCCAAAAGAATGACTTAATTCTTGCTTTTGTGAAATGCAAGGAGAAATTTTTTTAATAAAGATATATGATAAGGATCTTTCTGGTTTTTATTTAGCGTCATCTCACAGCATATTATTGGTTTTTCAAGAGAGATACTGTAGACATTTTACAGCCTCGTCGTCTACCAAAAAGAAGAAAAAAACAAGATACATTATTTCCATTGCTAGATGCTGAACGCATACAGGAAGAATTCAACATGGTGAAAACTTTTATAATGAACAAGAAGAGAGACAAACCTGGAGCAAGATCTGGGTTGATGAGCTATATATATATATATCTAAGCTTTATTTATTGAGAGACAGAGACAGAGATGGTGATGATAAGGAGATCATTCAACATGCATGACGGCGGTGGTGGTGGTTTTCAGAATATGGCATCAAGGGCTGAGCCTCAATTTGCGTAATTATATTTGTGTCTGGTGATCTGCTTTCTTATATCATAGTTATCATTCTATTTATAGAGAAAATGTCACTGTAAAATTGACACAGTAAGAAGAAAAAGAAAGAGAGTTCCACATTCATTTTACAACTCAATGCTTACCCGTCTCCTTTGTCTATATCCATAAACAACTACACGCCTCAAACTTTATTTAATTCATCTCTCTAAAACCTTCCATTACAGCATCTCAATAATTAACCATTTTATCTTTATATATTACCTGGAGAGGGTTTAATAATTAACATCCATTAAAGTGCTGAGCAGGAGTCATAGTCATATAATAACTGGTCCTGCTGGAGAATCAAAGTGGTGTTTATCATCATCCTGGTCAACTTGGCAACTTGATTAATCACTCAAAACTTAACCTCAATCAATAATCTTTATCGCCAATAAGATTCGATAACTTTTACATTAATAAATTAACCAGGAGACACTTTTGACTGGATCGTCATTGGGAGATTTTCCCACGTTCTCATTAGCTGGTTAGATCAACAATGGTTGAATTTTTTTGGACCATCTTAATTAATGAAAAATCATGTGCATTAATGACCTACATGACACCACATATAACCCAGTTTTAATCATAAGAAAATAACAATTTGAACACTTACTAAATAATAATAGACGTATTCATGTTGGTATCAACTTGATGAACAAAATCAAAAGAATAATAAAGGTTCACATCTGAATCAAAATTTGACAAAGAAGCAATAGTACAAAATTACAAGGGAGCATGTGGGACAGTGGCCCATTATTGTTTATTGTAAGTTACGTCTGAAAATTAGTCCATAGCTAATGCCTTCCTCGGTTCCAACCTTTGCATCCATGTATGTATATATCATCCTCCTCCTGAGACACTGAATCTGAAGCTATCATTGATAATAAATTATTACATGAATGGTTCAACAGAAATAATAAATAAGAGATGCATGGATCACATGGGGAAGAAATGTGGTGGTAAAGTCATAATGTTTAGTTAAGAGGAGGTGGGGTCGGATGTAACATTTCCATCCCCATCTCTATCTTTATTTTTTTTATTTTTTTTTATTTTTGGGTATTTTGGGATATTCGGATTAGTTTGTGCATACTTCAACTAGTTCTTCAAGACCCTGAAGTTAAAGGTCAGGTAAGTCGTAAGCCTCCTATGACTGTCTCTTATTAGTAGTCATGAGCAGGGACGGATCCAGCCTACTTTTGGGTGAGCCATGAATTTTATTTTAAAAAATACTAATATATATAATTTCTAGATTTTGGCCCATCCTAACAAAAATATTAATAGACAAAAATATTAATATGTAATTAGTTTTTATTTTGGCCCATCCTAATAAAAATTTTTTGATCCGCTACTGATCATGAGAATTCAAACTCAGAACCTCTTGAGTAATATACCTAAGACTTAAAACCTCTTGAATAATACATCCAAGAGTCTCAAGCGAACCGTTAAACTGCCTAGAGGTGGTTCCATATGGAAATTGACTGCCTCTTAAACTTGTATATACGTTCCAAAACAGTAAGAATATTCTTCATCAATAAAAGAGCAACAAGAACATTCTTCATCAATAAAAGAGGATCCAATGAGCCAAACTGTACTTGTTTTCATCTTGATATATCCATCGCCTGCATGCAACATCCATATATACTGGTGTTTATCATTCTGGGTGCTTCAACTAAACTGGACCACGCCTGAGTTCAAACACTTAAATTTCTCCACCACAATTTCTCATCACAAATATGGGACATTGGGATCCTTTTCATCTCTTTATTTCTTATATATTCTCTTGTTATACCTGTTAAAAGAGAGAATATATGGCCATGCATGTCACGATCATCTTTGTTTTCTTTATTTATTTATTTCCTCTTTGATTCCTCATGCCATACCTAACCATGCATACTTTTTTTCTTTTGTGTTTTAAAGGAAAAAAAGGAAGAAAAACCAGGATTCAAACTAATAATTTATAGTATATATGATATGAATTTGTTAAATTCATGAATAATACAAAGATGTTTATGAAGAAAAGCCAGGCACCAACTAATTTTGGAAGTTGTAAATGATGAAATACAAAAGCATTGGAAGGGTGAGAGACTGAGGGAGATTCAACCACCACATATTAATTGATTAAAGTATGAGACATTTAATTTGCTGGGGTCAGAAGAATATGACAACTTCCTTATCATTAATCTGTGGCTTTGGCAACTGGCATGCAAGATCAAAACCGCACAAATAATGATGCTAATTATGTTGATGGAATTCATTCATATTATTTGAACCTGCACATGTTTCATTTGGCGCAATTTTAGGCATTTTAGGTCCACTTACTGGACAATTCAATTACTTCCCACCCAACACCTACCCCTCCCGTCAATATCTTCACTGTGAATCACGACCTTGATTTGTGCCCACTTCCAAACAATGATCTCTTTAAAAGAAAGATTTATAGTGCTACAAACAATGAACAGCTCAATATGAGCAGTCATGATACAAGAAAGATTAAGACAGTACCTGGCTCATTACCATTTTCCACCTTCTAAAATACAATTCATCTTTAGTTTTGCCTATGCAAAGTCCAATTCTTTAGTATAAGTATTATATAATATTATGTTACAAAGGCAATGTACCCTCGTCTAAACCATTGGATCATATGATTCAGAATTTGAGTCTTTGGAACATGGTCTAAGGTCCATCTAACAAGGAAGGAAGAAGATAAAGTTGCCTCAATATTGTAGATCGACCCTTGTAGATATAACAATAAAAGATGTTAACATGAATAGATTGGAGTCTCAGTATAACTATTGCATCCTGTGGTGTAGCTGTTATGATCAGTCATTCTTATTTCAATTGTCATGGTAACAAAGATGCATTTCACAATGAGGAATGAAGGGAATAACTGATACATGGCAACACAATAAAAGGTTATTATGTGCAAGCGTATATATATATGGTAGGTACTTTTGACATTTTTTTTTTTTTTTTTTTTGTGCTAAGTACATGTATACGAGTTGATTATTTATCTTGAAATTTCCACAGATGGTTTATCACAAGGAAGCTTCAACTTCATCTGAGTTGACAGCAGACTCATTCGGGGCATCATTTGCATGCAACTGAGCAGAAAGATCATCTATGGCTGAATTCAGCTGCTCAATCTTCTCAGTCAGTACTTTGCGGGTCTTCTGTTAAAAAATAAAAATAAAATTCAGTGCATGCTGGCAGAATGAAGAGACAAGATGATGTATAACAAGAACAATCTGAATGATGAAAAGGAAGTTTGACTGAGATAATGACCATCTAGACTAAGTGGCATCTCCTCTTCCCATTAGAATGGGGAGGATGATGAAGTTGTGGGTTCGGTCCTGCTTTTGTAAAAGTGTATTTCAGAAGAAATGAGAAAATGTTTGATTACATATCATAAAGTTAGTTCACATTTCATTCCTAAAACAGTAGCTTTATTAACTTTACCAACATCTCCATTCACATGCATTATGAGCATAATGACTATATCAAGAATAAGTTCTCACCTCCAAAGCTTTCTCTTCATCATATATGAATTTCGGAAGCTTTCTCATCAGATCTTTTCTGTCAGCTCCAGCTAGCGCCTCGCTTATCTGTAAAATATATAAAAGAGAACGATATGCATCTCACACTCAAACTCGAGTCAATAAAATTTCGGAGCAGTGGACGAGCCATAGTCCATAAGCCACATTCATAATCATAGCCAAAAGTGAACTGTAGGCAAATAGTCCATCAAAGTCTAGCCGAAGGATCATACATCAGTCTTTTATTCAACCAGTTAATATAAACATTCACCTCGTATATTAAACCAAAAACTGAACAAACAATCTTTGCCATATGACAGATAAAATATGACAAAATAGCAGATAGAGAAGGCAAAGGAGGGATGCCACTCAACTCATTTCTATTAACAAAAACATAAACCTTACACAAAAGGTATCAAATTCAGTTTGACTAAATGCGTTTAATACCTGGGGAGCATATATACAGCCTAATGTCCCAACAACTATTCCTCCCAATATAAAGCCACCAACGAAGATATTTGCACTATTTTGTCTTCCATCATCCCCACTGTATAAATGTAAAGCAACCAATTTAATTAAGAAAAAGATGTCCATAAGACAAGAGAAGGATCTATCCATTGTTTAATAACACCAAAAAGAGACCTTTACAAGAACTTAAAAGAGGACTAATCGATGATTGTGCTTGTAATAAGAAACAAAATCCATTGAGTTAATTTAATTTCTAGAAGCAACAAATTGCCTATCCAAGAATAGAAAAGGAAAAGGTCGCCCGTAAACAAGCCAGGAAGAAAAAAGACAATCAAAGAAGTGAAAATCATGTCTATAAACACAAGAACATACTTACACTGCTCTAACTGTAAGAGTCCTCTGATGCTTAGAAACTTGAACTTTCCCACATAGATTACTTGGGCTAATGTTCAAAAGACATTTATGTGCTGGATTCAAAGAAGCACCTGGCATCACACCATTTAAGCAATTATAATTCAAAAGTAGAAGCTACAATCATGGTGTTATAAAGAGTAATTAGAGATTACTTACCAGAAATGAAGTGGGGTTGAGGAGTTTTGATTGAAAGAAATGAACTTGGAAGAACACCACTCATTCTTTTGCAGATCTTCAACTTTCAGATTGACAAAATTGTGTTTCACAGTGAGACTTGACTGTTAGATTTCCCTCTCTTAGATATTTCCGCAAATTATCTGGTAAGAACTCTACTTGGGCTGGTCGAGGACCGAAGCTACTATTTTTGGGCCCTAAAGGCCCATTATGAAAATCTAATAGGCCAACTCATTTCATGTAATTAGTAGGCGGCCATTGATTATTGAAGAATTTAAAGTTTTAAACTATAGGTGGCGGTGGGTCGTGTCGTGTTGAGCCAAAATTTTCACGGTCCACCATGCCATGGGCCATGCCATGCTATGCCAGACAACCAAAACTCAATGCCCACGGCAAGGCTTATGGCACGATGGGCCGTCACGTGCCTTTTTGGGCCGACCCACGTGCCACATAGGCTTTTCTTAACAAATTTAAAAAAAATTATTTTTTTAATTCATGGGCCGTGCTGTGCCAGTCCAAGTGCCAAATTCTAAGCTCATAGGATGGCTCACATTGCCCACAAGCCATGGAACGACACGAAATTTTCGTGCCATGACAAAAAAAATTCTAGCTAATCATGTTAATATAGGAGGAACATGCCAAAGATCCTTGAACTATATAATAAATCCTCATTACAAGATAAAGGTATTTAGTTAAACTAACGAGTCACATATGTTTTATATATCATGTGAAGAAAACAAATTAAATTATAGTAAAAACGAGTGTCTTATTTCTTGTAATTAATGAAATATTAAGGGAGATAACTACAATCCAGCTGAGCCAAGCCGAGTATTGTGAAACTTGAGCTTGGCTTGGCTAGAATAGTCGAAGCTCGACCTTGACCTCAACTAAGCTTCAATTGTCGAGCTCGACTCGATTGTAATTTATAATTTATATATTAATTAATATATCTAATATTAATATTAATATAAAATTAAAATAGTATATAATATAATATGTCGAGCTCAAGTAAGCTCCTGAGCTGCTCGAATCAGATATTATTATGCTTGAACTCAACTTGACTCGACATGCAAGGTACTCGAGCATAAGCAACTCGACTCGTTTACAAGCCTAGACATAACTAATAATTCAATGTACATTTGGGTGAAACATAACTTGTTCCAACTTTACTAGGAATTCAATAGAAAGAGGTCATGTTACAACCAACAATAATATGATTACCAATGAAATTATAAAACATGGTATATTGATTATAGTATGCATTCACCTTAGAGTTGATATTTATTAATAATATTGTTTGTAAACAATATACATTTAATAATTAATAATACTCACCTACCATAAAACATTGTCAAATTAATTAAATTAAGTCACATAAATCATATAGTTAAATATTTTAAAGTCTCCACCTAGCTTTTACCATGAATAGTGTTAAATGTATTATGAAGAAATTTTGCAAATTTCAGGAGACCCTTCAAACTCCTGGCTCACTCTTTGACTTGTTCTTAAGTGGGAAAGCTTCAAACCCGTTATATATGAATTTTGATGCGAATTTACACTAATTTGTTTGTTTTGACGAAAAGAAAAGGTATAGTATGAAGGAGAAGGGCCATGCCAAAGATTCTGGAACTTATAAAAATCCTCATTACAAGACAAGGGTATCTAGTTAAACAAATTAGCTGTAGTTACATGTCATGCATGAGCTAAACCTGAAGAAAACAAATTCAAGTAATGGTAAAAAGACTCCAATTCCTCTTCATATCCGACTTATACTGTGGATATTTATAAGAAGATAAAAGGAAAGCAGTTCTGTTGTGTGTGTGACAATTGTATCATTTAAATTTGGTTGTGACATGACAGTAAATATTTGAGCATGACTCTTGTGTCTTGTGTGGTCTAGTTTTACTGTTAGATTTATAGTAACGCCGGCATCAGCTTTTAAATAATTAGAGTAGGTTTCTTTTTCTTGCCAAGTCCAGGGAGATTAGAAACATTCCTGGGTGGAGAGTTGTAGATTAATAGTAAATTTAAGCTGTAGGTTTTGCAGTAGTCTTCATGGCTACTGCAGCAGGAGATAGGTCCTTGAAGGAGACACCCACTTGGGCAGTTGCTCTTGTTTGTGCAATTTTTGTTACGATTTCTATTTTCATTGAACATGTTATTCATTCTCTGGGAAAGGTAACACCTTTGATTTCATTATGGAATGTGAGCATTGATGATCCTGATCATTGATCATTGATTTCCTTTTCTAATGGCAGTGGTTTCAGAAGAGGCAGAAGAAGGCAATGAGTGAGGCTCTGGAGAAAATTAAAGCTGGTCTCTTTCATTCAGACATTATATTTCAATGTAAAGTTTGTAATGCATGAGCAATTTATGCATTGATCAAGAAATTGAAGTGAGTTTTTTGTTTTGTAATGCAGAATTGATGCTACTAGGCTTCATATCTCTACTCATTACAGTGGGCACAAAACCTGTCTCAAAGATATGTATCTCTGCCAAAGCTGGAAGCACCATGCTTCCATGTAAGGAGCCCAAGGACAAGGAAGACTACAACAATGGTGTAAATGATGGAGATGATCGAAGAAAGTTATTGTGGCACACCGGGGAAGTGATACAGCATCGAATCCTTGCGGCAGGAGGAGAAGAGGACTATTGTACCAAACATGTAAATATATATACAGTATCAATTCACAGTACTGCATATTATATTGTTCATATAGACAATGACTCAATAATTGTGTTAATTATTGATTTCAGGGAAAAGTTCCATTGGTCTCCCAGTCAGGGATTCACCAATTGCACATCTTCATATTTATGCTGGCTGTCTTCCATGTTCTCTACAGTGTTCTCACCATCGGTCTAGCAAAGGCTAAAGTATGTCAGTTTCATGAATAATTTTATAAATATTCTGCTGGGAAAGCTTGAGTGATCATAAACAGGGAAAACCAATTTGTAATGCACACAGATGAAGAAATGGAAAGGATGGGAGCTGGAGACATCATCCTTGGAATATCAGTTCACTAATGGTAATTAGCATTTTCCTAAACCTTTTTTCTTAATAAAAATATTTTGAGGTTTATATATTTTGTGCATCAATGATTAAGCTGATGACGTTTAGTGTTATAGATCCTTCAAGGTTCAGATTGGCTTATCAACTTCTTTTGTTCGACCACACTGGATTCTTACAGCACCTGGCTGAGATGGATAGTAAGATCATTCTAAAACTCTCTTAGTAGGATTCTAAATGTTGAATCAGAGTAATTTAGCCATTTTGAGCCTGATTTGGAATGAAATACATTGTGACATTGTGGCGTTCTAGTTAGATCCCTCTAACCAGATGAGTAATTCATGTAACAGGTGGCTTTTTTCAGACAGTTCTTTTATTCTGTAACCAAGGTGGATTTTCTGACCATGAGACATGGATTCATAAAAGTAAGTTATTCCTCTTTATTTTTGCTTTTGTTCTAAACATAATGCAGACCAATATGTAAATATATATTGCAGGCTCATTTGGCTCCCAACAGCAAATTTAATTCCACAGTATATCAAAAGATCAATGGAAGATGATTTCAAGGTGGTAGTTGGTATCAGGTTGTGCTCCATCCTTCTCTTTTCTCTGCCTGTAATTTCTGATTAATTTTTACTTAATATTAACCATGAATTTCTGTTTACAGCCTACCATTATGGACATGCTGTATTGTTTTCCAGCTTCTCAATGTGTATGGTGGGGCTTCTTTTCTTAATATGTGTTAATTTGATTGTGAAAGTTTTCATTGACATTAACACAATTGCTTACTTTTTCTGCAGGATGGTATCTCTTTCATGGGTATCATTCATACCACAGTTGTAAGAATTTCTTAACTTTCTAGTTTTAAATTGTTTACCTGAGGATATTATCTTATGAACTACTAGAACAGTTCAATTTATATATACATTAATGATTCTATTATACATCAACAGATATTTCTGATAGTTGGCGCGAAGCTTGAAATTATAATCGGAATGGCTCAGCAGATCCAAGATCGAGGACTGTTGTAAAAGGAGCTCCTGTTGTAGAGCCTAGTAACAGCTTCTTCTGGTTCAATTGCCCTGATTTGATTCTTTTCTTGTTACATTTCACCTTGTTCCAGGTACTTCTCTTGCCTTGTTATGCTTTTGATCTAGGACCTAAAACTTGCATAGATTATGCATCAGGTTTTTACATCTAGCATATTATGAGCTGATGATCGTTTTCAATTTGCAAAACGCGTTCCAGATGGCTTACTTTCTATGGACAGGGGTAAATATAGCTTAACCACTATCCTTGTAAGAAATTTAATTTGTTGTTCAGCATTGAGAGAAAACTCGGAGAAAATTTCATTTTATTGTTTTTATTCATCAATGCAGTATGAATTCGGGTTGAATCATGCTTCCATAAAAATCTGGTGGAAGTATTGATAAGGGTGTTCCTGGGTGTAGCTCTTCAGATTTTATGCAGCTATATCACCTTCCCTCTCTACGCCCTTGTAATCACAGTAACTTCTTTTATTCATACACAAATTCGGCATCAAAGTTTGTAAATAGTTACAATCATAATGTACATTATGTTAAAAAATTGCAGATGGGGTCTCACATGAAGAAGGCAATCTTTGAAGAGCAGACAGCCATGGCTCTAAAGAAATGGCAAAAGGTTGCCAGGGAAAGGAAGATTGACAAAGGCCACAGGCATAGACATTCCATCTAGTTTCATAAGAAGAAAAATAATACCCCAGCCATGGCCCATTGCCTTTACAGTTCCTCCATAAATACAAAGCCAATACTGCCATGGACCTGGAAGTGCTCTTAGTTCTCCAAGGAGTACTTACAATTATAATTCTGAGACTAAGTTTACAGAAATAGAAGGTCCTGCACCACTTGTTTCTAGTGATGATCATCATGAACCAAGAAAATATAACAATCAGCCAAAGTTTGCCAAAACTGATAGTGGGGATTTCTCATTTGTTAAGCCTTAAAAGATGGGATTACCGTTCATAAATTGTGCTAATACTTATAAAATTAAATATAACATTTATCATATGATCAAGTTCAAAATCATGTTTTTTGCTACTAATGGAACTGATTAGGCTTCTCTATCAAGAGTAAACGTGTTTTGCTGGAATTATGTTCAATTATGCTTATGGAAGAAGCCCTCTCCATTTATGTTCACATGGACTTGCAGTGGCTTCTACTTAAAACTCCTTTCTTCTCACAAACAAATGTAAACAAAATTCTTTCACCTGCAGACTCAACCTCATCCAAGTGAGGTTGCTGTCGGGCAAACTGGTGTACTAAATTCATGTGAGATATAAATTCCTGCATCGTTAGCCTTCACCCTCAAACTTGATTGGAGCATCAGCTTGGGTTAGAATTCACATCTTCCACAGCAGCTTCCATGGCAACTTTTACACCTTTGCTGATGGTAGAATTGAAAGAGAAAACAGCACCAATGCTTACAACAGGGGGCACTGTATTAACATTTGTATTAATCCCTTCTGAAAACAAATTGTAGAGAACTATTAAAACCAAGGGCAAAATTTTAGTCATGGTGAATTGTCTAGTTAATCACTAACTCCAATATCTCATATTAATCTACTGAGAAGACAAAACAACCAAATAAAATAGCAGAAATTATCTGAGCGAATGTCCAATTTATACTCTACAAACATCAAAATTAGAATCAAAGACTCAGCAAGTAAGAAATCAACAGAGATATGAAAAAAAATAGTAAATAAAAACAATGAAAAGTTTACTAGGTAGATGTGTTCTGTTAGACAGTGTAGCCCTCAATTCAACAACCTACACAATCAAACAAAAGGAAACAAAATATAAAAAGCTGCATTGCAGTGTGAGGTGGATATATTTGTCGTTTCTTGTCAGTCCCCACGCCAGGAAACAAATTCTAGACTTTTTCATTGTGAATTATATTTTATTAGGCTAGCCAGACACATATCAATTATATACCTACTCTCTTTTGGAGGACCAATGTGATCATCTAACCATTCATATTTTGTTATAACTTAGAATCACATCTCTATGTTCTGCTCTTATATCAATGAGTCTTTAATAAATTGTTTGGATTTGGCATGTGTTTATGCTTGATTTTGGACGTCAACGACTCGTATGTGCAAAATACTAAGAAAATTTTAAAAATTATATGTGATTGATCTATGAGATTTGAATATGGTGTTGAGGTTATATATGCTGCAGAAACATAAACAAAAGATTGGCAAGAGGGGGTTTTTATAGTGGTTCGGATGCTCAAAAGTGAATCCTAAGTTCACTGTGATTTTATTATTCTCTGGCTATTTTTATGATATTGCCCGTAAGACATACAAAGATGAAGAAAAGCTTTGTTTACAGAAGAAATAATGAAATGAAGCTCAAATATATGCCTAGCTCTCATCTGCCCAGCCCCCTTTTCTGTGAGGGAAGGTGCTCATTTATACACATTTAAGGTCAATGTAATGAGTGTTTTGCAAGTTACCTTGACACATGGAAAGCTCTCATCCGTTCTTATCTTAAAATGAGATAGGGTTGGTATAAGCTATCTTTGAGACGGTATGGGCTTGACAGGAAGTATAATTTGTCTTTTAAGTACTTATTGAGCTGACATCAGCGTAACTTTTTAGGCATAATAGAAGTCCCCTAGATTTTTGAGTGCGTAATCATGTGCTCTTCAAAAACTCAGGTCTTTGATCTGAATGGCTGTCACACTATAGGTTGTAGTCTCGAACTGAAGAGCTTGAACTATGTCTGGCGCAATCGGGTGCTGAGAGCTAGGACTGCGATCTGAGAGCTTAGAGCGATCCGAGGGTTAGGATTGCGATCTAAGAGTTAGGACTGCGATCTGAGAGCTTGGAGCGATTCGAAGCTAAACGCGATCTGATAACTGACATTAAATGTCTAGTAGATGAATTCCTGGAGGGAGCTAACATCAGAAACCCAAACGCATGGCTTAGAGGCCTTAAATAGATAAGTCAACTTAAAACAGCCATAACTTTTGATTCGGGAGGAGTTTTGGAGCCCGTAAGATATCCACGGAAAGCTTGTTCTGAGCTCTACGTCGTGGGAAAATGGGGAACCTAGTTGGGGCCGTGTTCAACAACACGATCTGAGAGCTAAAAATCAGCGATCTGAAGTTGAAGATCAAGACGATCTGAGCGTGCGATCAGCTATCTAGCCACGCGATCGGAGCGCTAAAGATCAACAATATGAAGTTGAAGATCAGCGATCTAAGCGTGCAATCACCGATCTGAAGCCGAATATCAGCGATCTAAGCGTGCGATCTGCGATCTGGCCACGCGATCTGAGAACTCTGATACGTTTGATTTGCGATCTGGCCACGCAATTTGAGAACTCTGATGCGTGCGATCTGACCATGCGATCGAAGGACTCTGATGTGTGCGATCTGCGATCTGGCCATGCGATCTGAGAACTTTGATGCGTGCGATCTATGATCTAGCCACGCCATCTGAGAACTTTGATGCATGCGATCTATGATCTAACCATGCCATCTGAGAGCTTGGACGCAGGTTTGAGACCTGCATGGGCTACCAAACTATTGACGCTTGATTTTGGACGCCAACGACTTGCACATGTAAAATGCTAAGAGAGTCTTAGAAATTACACATAATGGATCCATGAGATTTAAATATGGTGCTGAAGTTATATATGTTACGGAAACATAAATAAAAGATTGGCAAAAGGGGGTTTTTATAGTGGTTCGGATGCTCAAAAGTGAATTCTATGTCCACTGTGATTTTATTATTCTCTGGCTATTTCTATGATATTGCTCGTAAGACATACAAAGATGGAGAAAGGTTTTGTTTACATAAGAAATAATGAAATGAAGCTCAAATTTATGCTTAACTCTCATCTGCCCAGCCCCCTTTTCGTGAATAGAAGTGCTAATTTATACACCTTTGAGGTCAATGTAATGAGTGTTTTGTAAGTTGTCTTGACACATAGAAAGTTTTCATCCGTTCTTCTCTTAAAATAAGATAGGGTTGATATAAGCTATCTTTGAGGCGGTATGAGCTTGATAAGAAGTACAATTTATCTTTTAGACACTTATTAAACTGACATTAACGTGACTTTTTAGATATAACAACTGTATATTTCTTACATGGTGAACTCATTTCCAATTGTTTTATAGAAATTTGGTGGAACAATGCAATCATGTTATGGGAATCACATCCCCATGCTTTGCTCTACAATCAATGATTTTTATATAATTTGATTTGGATGATGCATGCGCGTGGATAAATGAAAAACTAGGTTTGGACTTTTCTAGGGGTGCTATTTTAAAATGAAAACAAAAAATACATGTTTAACACTCTCTCCACTGACCTCCACTCAACACGCCGGCGCTTCCCATCCTCATTTCCGGCGAGCTCTCCCAAAGCACCTGAACATGAAAAATTTTGCATGCAAAAATTTCGTGGAGAGGAAAAAAGGCATGGAACGCAACACCGGGAAATTAAAAGGCTTTGAACAGCCCCCTTGAAAGGTGAGGACTGAAGGTTGAAGCGGATACCAGTAGACCAGTTGCATATTAAAATTTTGAAGTGATGGTTTGGCGGTTGTTCATAGTAGAGAAACGAGGAGGGAAATTGTGATGATTTTCTAAAGTTTTGTGGAGAGTATAGTAGGTTGTTGATTCTTTCTCGTTCAAAAGGGGTTTACATGAATTTTATGAAACTTATGGGGAGGTATTATATAGCTCTGATACTAACGGTAAAAACCTTATCTGCAATCTAAACAAAAATACAACAAATATAATATTCTTAAAATATAAACCAAGAATCAAGGATTACCTCCAACCATTGAAACAAACTCACGGAATTGTATTTTGCCTCTTCTAAACTCTTAAGATACTCTAATATTGATGATGTATTTTTTAGTTGAGTATTTGAGCTTAAGGACTAAAACAGTATACATAATCAAGCTTCCATTAAGCGCTTAATGACATTGCTTAATGGATACTGTTGATGCTGGTTTCTGGCACCAACCAATTCTCACGTGGATATTGCTATTTGATGAATTAACACACGTGATGATGGATGCATGAAGTGAAATAAATGTAAAGAAGACTTTTAAAGTGGTTCGGATGCTAAGGTAGCAAGTCCTACGTCCACTGATTTGTATTGATATTAGTGTGGGTCAGGTCGCGAGGCGGACTGACGTACAAAAAGTTAAGAAAAGTAAGTGTTTTCTTTTACAAAAGAGAGAGAGTCGTTTTCTGTAAAGAATGGCCGAATCCCCTTAATGGAGGGGTCTTCTTTTTTTTATATCAAATTGAAGCGTGTAATCATCATTAAATCCATGGGTTGGTGTGATTGTCAGGATGTAATCCGGCTTTACGTCCCATTTTCCTTTTTCCAAGCTGACTTCGCACGACTTGCTGCAGAGGAATGGACTTGTGTGAGCTCCATATTATTTTGCAGGTTTGACGTGTGCATGTTGCCCTGACGGGAGCAGATCACCCGTAACGTGACTTTCCCACGTCAGCCCTTTATTTTTCCGGGTATAACAGATACTATAAATCTTAATCAATGGTTAAACAAAAACGTTTGAAAACTGAAGCAACAAATGTGGACCATTAATCTTTAAAACTGATAAAAATCAAATATCAACTTTACATGAGAAAACGTAAGTTCTACAAATGTTACAATAAATTAAAAAAACACAAATTTAGAATAACTAATTAATTAATTTGTGTGTGTGTGTGTGTGTTTTTTTTTTTTTCAACAAACAAAATAATGGGAGGTGTAATTATGTGGTCAAAGTATCATTCAAAATCCGGGAACTCCTTCCAATGACTGTACCACCTGTATCTGGAAATCTCTCGTGTCCGGGTTGGGGGCTTATTTTCCCATCAGCCTCTACCTTAAGGGGATATTTTAGAAGGTAGCCACGGAGTCGCGTGAAATTCTCAGTGGTGGTGAATCTATCCCAGTTGTCTCCAGCGATCTGGTTTACTGTCCTTACACATTCCCGACTTTCAGGCTCCTCGAAGGAAGCCTCTAGCTGACCAAGATGCTCTGCCCAAAGTGACTTCCTATATCCATAGATCTGCACAAGGCACATGCTGGTCACATAACGTTACGTATATATCACACAGAACGGTAGTTTTACAATTACAGAATGTTCAGGAATTATCGGAGTCTTAGAATACAATCTTAGTCAGACTAAAGTTCGAGGGTTTATGATTGGAACTCAAAATATGCATTTGAAAAGTATTAACATAAAAGATGATAGGGGTACTATCATACTTTCATCAAAGCCAAAACTAATTTTATGCTATGGGATGCTTATGCTACAGCAATCATACCCACCAGAGCAACAATTGCAAACAAAGCTGATTTTTGAAAATCTTAAAAGAACTACAGGATGTCAACTTGCTTTGTTCAAGCCAAAAGCAAACAGAAAAGAAGCAAATCTGGGTGAAATAAATCTGTAAGGAATCAAGAAAGAGAAGCAGTTCAAGACAATGATACTGTCAGAGTATGCCAAAGAGAAGAGAAAAGAGAACAGAAGAATTTCAATGTATATTTTCAATATATTGTAAGCCTGTATAATGGCTAATTTATACAATTTTTGTAAATGTAAAATAGGAAAACAATAAATAGTAGTAAAGATGCATTCCATATTTCGTCAAAATCATTTGAAGTTGTTCAAATCTTTTGATCATGGTCTTTCAAGAAACAGTTAGGGATGAGTACCAAAATAAACAGACCTGACCATGTGGATGCCTCTTGTTTTTCGCCCAAGCATGATGCGGCCGATAAGCACCCATGGCTATTTCAGTGTCTTTACTCCCAGCCATCGATCTTTGATTAACGTTGGCAGATCCCACTATCACATATTCATCATCTACTATCATTCCCTTAGCATGGACATATACCATAAACCGCTGATGTTTTTGTGATTCAGATACCTGATAAATCTTTAATTAGTAACTACTAACTATAATTTAAAAATATGTCCTGCTTCCCTTAGAAAACTTATTACATATCAAGACCTGAAACACGAATGATTAATAGAGTTCGTATTTCAAAAATGTCATGCTTCCATCAGAAAATATACTTTAAAAGTTAAAAGATTTATATATGTTATGTACCATGATCATATATCTACCATAAAACATTTGACATCAACAAGTCAAACTGGAAATCAAAAGCATCAATTAGACAGAAAAGTTCACAAATTAACTACTTATGAAGTCTAGGGATTGCAATAATGCTTGTGATTTTTTCAAGAGAGAAAAGAAATAGCTAATAGAGATCTTATATTAAGAACAAGAAAATTATTTAGCCACAATAATTAACAACAAACAAATAATTTAGTCCTAAAACGAAAGTTGTATTACAGTAAGCTTAAAAAAGCACAAAAGGAATTCTCTTCCAAGTAAATACCTTTTCACCACTATTGGCTGACACATCTAGGTTTTCTTCTGCATATCTTTCAGTGCTTGTGCGACAATACTATTCATCATCTGCATTGTCTGGCTCTGCAAAGTGCAAATAAGTGGAAGTTAGACAATATACATTTTTTGACAAAAATGTTAAAACATTTGAAGAGAAACTAGAACGATGAAGGTATTAAAGTAGCCAGTGTTCATCCTATTTCCCAAGTATAAAGTTAAAAGTAAACTTAATTATAGAATCCAATTGGATAGCAACAACATAAAAGACTATACCAATTGAATTGCTAAAGAAGACATTTAGTGTTTAGAAAAAAATGTTACCAGACTTCCCATTGTGTTTTTCAAAAGCCACAGTTATGTCACCATTCTAAACCCAAGTGAAGGAACCAAACTAAATCAGGCCAATTTATGAACCAAGATCATATTATATCTGGCATGACAAAAGATAGAAATGAGCCCTTAAACTCCGAACCAATAATTAAAAAAGAACAACACTGACACAACCCGTCCCGAATTTCCTCGTCCCGTAGGATCCGGGCGCTCCCACAAGACTCGGATACCCGAGACGTGCCATGTAGAAAAACTGCGAAACCTGTTTAAAAACATACATCATCTTTCGTTTTACAAAAGAAAATAGTTAGGGAAACTTTTGGTATCAGGTTTTCCACTTATACTACACATTCCAAAATATGAAACAAAAGGAAATACATCATGGAAAACATGAGTTCTTGAAACGAAAGTCCAGATTTACAATGCGACATAAATATAAGACCCACATAAAAGATGTCAACGCGTGGCACAACCCTGAGCGGAGGCTCACTGCTCGGCACGATCTCCGGAAGGTCCTGGTGGGGGGAAAAACATTTAAAAAGGGTGAGCTAAAAAAATACTCAGTGGTGGGGAAAAAGGGGGAGGTTAAATAAAATTCTTAAAAAAAGAATAATGCTAACATACAACAATTTTCAGCAAATCATGGCAACAATGTAACTTTATGAATATGCAATAGAACAACCACCCCGTTCTCGCATACAATATACATTTTTTTTCTAATCATCCTGCACTCAGTAACTGTACTCTGACTTACTTCCTTTAACTGTATCGGATTCTGTATAAAAAACCTCAACTTTTATTATTAAACTCTCACCACAACTGTACCCTGGGGAATCTGTCATACCTGGTCGTCCCACACGCAGGCAAGCGAGGGACGTACCTGTCATACCCGGCAGGTCTATCATCGCGGGGCAGAGCCTTCAAAAACTGTCATACCTGGCACCACTCACACCCCAGGCAGAACCAATAATCTGTCATACGCATGCCAGAGCCAAATCTGAAACTGTCATACCGGCGGAATCCTGCATCGCTCGGGCAGAGCCAATAATCTGTATCTCTGGGGGATGGGTACTTCGTAGGGTGGTTTTAGCACCATAACAATCTCATGCATAATCTCAAGTAACTATAAGTCAATAACACATACCTATGTGTTTATAAATCATCATATATGACATAATATTCAAAAGTCACATATAGGGGTGAAACTGCAATTTTCTAATAATGTTTTAGAAACTAACGGTTAACTCGATTGAAAATTAATTCAACATCACATGATCTTAGCATATGTCCGATACAAATCATAAGCAAATATAAATCTTTTAAAAGTCAAAACTCATATAACACATTATAATTATAATAAATCCAAGAGCAAAATAAAATATATATATATATTTCCTATAAGGTAAGACATGCCAACATGTGAATTTCATGGAAAATGGGGGTAAAATGCAGGTTTTTAAAGCATACTTTCAAAACGACGAAAAGCACCCCATTTGCCCTTTTTACCGAGAATTTATTACCAACATCACCAATCTCAGTCTTTTCTTTAACATGCTGTCCATTCAAGTATGCAGTTTAATACCCAGCAATAATTTCATCAAAACACAAGTCAACATCATCCTAATCAACTGCCATGAAACATATTACTTTGGAACAAGATCTAATTCATCTCATACCCAAAAATTTGCTCACCGAAACATGCAAGATAAGTTTTAGCAAATAAACACTTAACTCAAGATTTTCACCCAAAACATTATAATGAAATAGATAACTTGACATGCAAACCGGAATTAAGTTTTTTAAAAACACTTTTTGGTTAAACCACTCACTCTTCTATCCTATAATTGGCTGCCTATTACAGTGCTTGGATTTCGATCTCCACCGTTCAAAATGTAGAGCTGTGTTTCATGAACAACATATCCGAAAATCACACGATCGGACGGCGAATGAGCTCCAGATCACGATTTGATGGTGCACTGTTCACAGACTTAAACAATAAACTCTCCCTTTCCTTGTTCTCTCTTCTTCTCTCACTCTAACTCTCGGCCCAACCACTCTTTCTTCTCTCTCTCCCTTTTTTTTTTTTTTCTTTTCTTTCTTCTTTCTCCTTTCTCTCCTCTCTTCTTTCTTCCTCTTCTTTCTTCTGCTCTCGTTTCTCCTTCTTCCTTTGGCGAAACTGCCCGTTCTTTCCTTCTCCTTTTTAAACAACACTTTTTCTAATTTTTTTTTCTGCCCCCCAATTCCTCTAATTTCAGTTTAACCCAGCCACATAAGCTTCCCTGCAAAAATGTCCAAATTTTTCCCTCTTGATACATGCAACCCATCAGGATTATTTCTTCGATTTCACCCCCTTAACACAGCTTTAAAAACTGACAGAAATACCCCTATCTTACCACATACCAAAATCAAATTAAAAAAAAAGAATTATTAACTAAATACAATTCATGATCTAACAAAAATCAGGAATGGGTTTTACAACTCCCCCCCTTAAAAAAATTTCGTCCCCGAAATTTCACTAACCTTATTGAAAAAGGTACGGGTACTTAGTCCACATGACATCTTCAGGCTCCCATGTGCTTGCCTCTTCGATCGCATGATTCTCCCATACCCTTTTACCCAAGGATGGTTCTAGTACGGCACTTGCTTTTTATAATCCACAATTTGGACCGGCCTTTCCTCATAATTAGTGCTCATCCAATTGAATCGGTTGTTGCTGGAGAATGGTGGAGGGATCTGCTACTACTTACGGAGCATGGAAACTGGAACATTATGGATTCTTTCCAATTCTGGTGGCAAAGCCATTGGTATGCACTTCACCAATTCTTCCAAAATCTCATAAGGGCCAATATATCTTGGGCTTAACTTACCTCGCTTGCCAAACCTTAACACCCCTTTCCATGGTGAAACTTTTAGGAAAACCTTATCACCCACTTGGAATTCGAGCTCCCTTCTCCGCTTTCGGCATAACTCTTTTGTCTATCTTGAGCCGCCTTAAGTCTCGCCCTGATAATATTAATCTTCTCATTGGTATCTTGCACAACTCGGGGCCTAACAATTTCCTCTCTCCGACCTCATCCCAACACACTGGAGTTCTACATTTTCGACCGTATAAAGCTTCATATGTGGCATCCCAATACTAGAGTGATAACTGTTACTATAGCGAATTCCACCAAGGGTAAATACACATCCCAATTACCCTTGAATTCCATTATACAAGCCCGCAACATATCCTCTAAAGTCTGAATTGTCCTCTCTGACTGCCCATCAGTCTGAGGGTGGAATGCCGTGCTAAAATTTAGTTTGGTACCTAAAGCCTTCTGTAAACTGTGGCCAAAATCTAGATGTGAACCTGGGATCCCGATCCATACTATAGAAACAGGGGCACCATGAAGCCTCACAATCTCTGGCATAGATGCTCGCCAACCTATTTAGTGAATAGGTGGTCTTAATCTTAGAATGAGCAGACTTTGTCAACCGGTCAACAATCACCCATATACCATCATGCTTATATGTAGTACGAGGGAGCCTATCACGAAGTCCATGGTAATGTGCCCCATTTCCACTGTGAATAGGAAGCGGTTGGACAATCCTGCTGGCCTCTGATGTTCAGCCTTAACTTGTTGACAAACTAAGCATCTAGAAACAACTCAGCTACTTCCCTTTTCATACCTGGCCACCAGTAATGTTCCTTTAGAGTACGTACAACTTCGTACTACCTGGGTGCATGCATAAGCTGACGAATGAGCCTCCTCTAATATCTCCCTTTTCAACTCTTCCGCATTGGGCACACAAAGTCTATTCCCCATCATTAACATACCATCGCCCCTAATCCAAAAATCTGTCCGCAACCCCTCCACTCTTCTCCCATTACTTCATTATTTAGGGTCCATAAACTGAGACTCTCTGATCGATCCACCAAAATAGGCCTAACTTGAAATGTCTAAAAGTACCCCTGACTCATTCATTCCCACTCAACTCCCAGGTCCTCAACTCCATAAGCAAGGGAGAACCACCTTCATATGCGCCATGACGCTCGGGGTTTTCTACTTAGGGCATCCGCCACTACGTTGGCCTTACCAGGATGATAATCAATCATACAGTCATAATCCTTGATAAGCCAATCCACCTTCTCTGCCTTGATTCAATTCCTTTTGAGTAAACAAATATTTCAAACTCTGATGGTCCGTAAAAATCTGACAATTTACCCCATACAGATAATGTCTCCAAATTTTTAGGCAAAGACTACCGCTGCGAGTTCCAATCATGGGTTGGGTAATTCATCTCGTGTTTCTTGAGTTGCCTGGAGGCATAGGCTATTACTTTCCCATGTTGCATCACACACAACCTAAACCTTGACGGATGCATCACTAAACACCACAAATCCATCATTACCGGAAGGCAAGGCAGTACGGGGGCTGAAGTTAGCCTTACTTTCAATTCCTGGAAACTCCGCTCACACAATCGTCATCCCACTCAAACTTTACCTCCTTCCGAGTCAATCTGGTCAAAGGGGCTGCTATCTTAGAAAATCCTTCCACAATCTCCGATAGTATCCAGCTAACCCGAGGAAACTCCTTACTTCTGTCACATTAACAGGTCTCTCCCAATTCAACACTGCTTCTACTTTCTGGGGATCCACATAAACCATTTGCCGAGATCACATGACCCAAGAACTAATCTGATTGAGCCAAAACTGACACTTACTAAACTTCGCATAGAGTCTATTTTCCCTGAGGGTTTGTAGGACCATCCGAGGTGCTCCTCATGTTCCTCCTCATTTCTCGAATACACTAAAATGTCATCAATATACAACCACAAACCATCCAGGTATGGACGAAACACCCTATTCATCAAATCCATAAAAGCTGCAGGAGCATTGGTTAAGCCAAAAGGCATCACTAAGAACTCATAATGTCCATAACGGGTCCTGAATGCTGTTTTTGGTATATCAGTCTCCCTAATCTTTAGTTGAGGTAACCAGACCTTAGATCTATTTGGAGAAGACCCACACCTTGCAATTGATCAAATAATTCATCGATCCGTGGCAAAGGATACTTGTTACGCACTGTTACCTTATTTAACTGTCGGTAATCGACATAATCTGAAAGTACCATCTTTCTTTTTAACAAATAAACTGGTGCTCCCCACGGTACACACTAGGCCTAATGAAACCCTTATCCACCAATTCTTGCAGTTGTACCTTTAACTCTTGCAATTCCCGTGGTGCCATTCTATAGGGGCCATGGATATGGGGGTTGAACCGGGAACCAAATCTAATAGTGAACTCAATTTCTCTATCAAGTGGCAAACCAGGAAGGTCTTCAGGAAATACGTCTGGGAATTCCCTCACCACCAAAATCCTCTAACCTCAATTCACTAATTCTAGTGTCCACCACATAAGCTAGATAAGCGGGACATTGTTTCTTGTAGTCGCCTGGTAGTCATCGCTGAAATAACACAAGAAGGAAGGATACGACCTCTCCACAAAAACAAACTTTGGTTTCCCTCGCTCTTAGGTTACCTCCTTACGAAACAATCCACAGTGGCATGATGCAAGGCTAGCCAATCCATTCCCAAATCACATCAAAATCGGGCATGTCTAGAGGAACAAATCTTCTTGCAACTCATGCTCACCAATCCTCACCACACTATGTCTATACACTACTCAACCATTAAAGAATCTCCAAGGGTGGCTATTGCTAATTTACACTCTAAGGGTTCTAACTTTCTATTTGCATGCACAGCAAATGATACGAAACGAAAGAATGTGTAGAACCTGGATCAATTAAAATGCGGGCCTCATGGATCAAAACAGTCAACATACCCTAACCACGTCTGGGGAGGCTTGAGCATCCTGCTCGGTGAGAGCAAAGACACGAGCTTGTTCTGAGGTCGCCCTGTTCCTCTCTGTCTAGCACATTTCTACCTACCTGAACACTACCCTGGGCCCTCTGAACCTGAGATCTCTATTGTCCTTGAAACTGGCCCCTATTCCTCTGAAATTCTGCTGAACTGAGGCATTATGGGCCAAAATGGGACAATTTCTCTTGATATGGCCAAACTGCCCACAATGATAACAACCTGAAGCTCCTTTCTGACACTGCCCCGAGTGGAACCTACCCAACTGTTACAGGGTGGTCGTTGGCTCTCGCTTGCACCACCACTTGGATATCTATTAGCTTGAGACCTCATATTCCAATTACTACTGTCTCCTGAGTGTTGACTCTGAGCAATCTTTGAATCCGTCCTGAACTGCTTTGAGGTCCCAGAAAAACTACCCTCCTTTTTGATTTCTATTACTAGGCCGCCAACTGTCCATTCACGGTTACTACGTTCGGTCTTCGTGCTCTCCCTTATCAAACTCCCCAATTACCTCAGTTCTCATAGCTATCTCTGTCAATTTCCCAAACTCTGAGCAGCAGTTGAGGCCACTATTGTTCTGATCCATACCTCTGAGGCCCTCCTCAAATCTCCTACTTTTGCTCTCTCATTTCCGACTATAGTGGGGCAAAACGGGATAACTCAATAACTTAATCAAATATTCCTCCACTGACATATTTCCTTGGTTTAGTCTGAGAACCTCACTCTGCTAGCGTCCTAATACACTACAGGAAAAATGATCGAAGAACCCTGACGGAAATTGGCCCAAGTAATTGTTGTCGGATCCCCATATCTAAGTTGTACCGATCTCCACCAATGACGAGCCCTGCCTTTAGTAGAAAGGTAGCAAACCGTAGTTTTTGGTCATCAGTGCACTCCATCATCCCAAAACTTCCTCTAATTGATCCATCCAGGAGTCGGCATCTGTGGATCCTCCCTCCCCTCAAAGTCTGTTGCCCCTATTTTCTTGCTCTCTCTATAGTTTTTCCTTCTCCCTGACGCCCATGCGTCCTATCTCTGCATTACCCAGTCATTAGTTGAGCTATCCTA